CAGGGAGGACTAGCACCTCTGGTGTCCAGGCTGCCCACTCCCCTTTGGTGTCCACTGATTCACCCAACTCTCACCTGTGGCTTGAAGAAGCTGTAGCATGCTCAGCAGCCATACCCCAATTTAAAAAAAATTCCTGGAGGTAGACACATAAACCCTGGCTATGGCAAGTCTCGCAAAATTCTTGCCATTTATCTGCCTTCCTCTTGTCTGAGGAGGGCAAGACCTCAATGCTGACTGGCAAACCCTGCCCCCTAACTCCTCCCTCTGCTTCCTTGGCTCCAAAACAGTTATCTGCATCCTATCTCCCCCAGGACAGAGAATCTGAGAGTTGGAAGGACCCTCGGGGTTCTGGGATCTAGTACAATGGAGACCTGAACAAAAATTCAGTGGTAACTCAGCATCCACCTACAGACCTCCCACTCCTCCCCCTTCTTGGGTTTTGTTTTTGTTTTTATCAGCTTCCACCCACTGCCTGAGGTTCAGCTGGACAGACCTAAACAAAGTTCAGTCTAAGCTCTCTTCAGAAGATGTGAAGACTGTCATCCTGTCCCCTTCTTAAGCCTTTTCTCCTGTAGGCTAAAACAGCCCCAGTTCCTGCTCCACAGACTGGTGTGGAGGCCAGACAGTGCCCCATCTTGACCACTCTCATACGGAGACTCTCCAGTCCCTTCCTTCTCTCTCTTACCTCTCTACCCCACCCATACAGATGCCCTATTTTATCTCCCCTACCTCCAAACATCTCTGGAAGCCCTCTCCTCCACTCACAAGGCCACCCCCTAGTTCAGGGCCTCATCACCCCCCTCTGCTGCCAGAGTCTATCTAATCCATCCTCCAGAGCTGCCAAAATCATCTTCCTAAGACACAGAAAGGTCTGCTCCCCTAAGGCCTTAGTAACTGCTTAGGATTTAATGTCCCCTATGTATAAACTGAAGCCAACCTACCTTTCCAGAGTGATCCCACATAACTTAAGCTGGCTGCCCCACCTCCCATTCCAACCAAAGTGACCCCCCCAAACCCTCCACCCCCAGCCTACTCCTCAAACTCCACTGTCCCTCTCCTTGCTTTGGGGCATCTGCAGAAGCTCCTGGAGAGAAGACTTTCATTTTTGTCTCTCTATCCCCAGAACCTGACACTTAAGAAATATCTGTCAAACTGAATTGAAAACCAAAGCCTGCTCTCCTCTTTAAAATAACAACCCCTAAAAATGATGGCCAAAGGGAGAATAGTTTCTACTGCCAGAGCCAGATTCCTAAAGTGGTGGTTTGATGACTTCTAAACTGTGATGTGAAGATTATGAAACAGCATCAAGGACCCTGGTGAGCAGGAGGAGCCCCTTTAAGGGATGTCTACACAAGAGAAAAGAAAATGGTCCCAGGGATCTGGAAGGTGGCACCTTCCCCTTCAAATCACTAACTGCTGTCAGGGACCTTAGAAATGCTCCCACCCAAGCTCCTCACTTTACACAAGAGGAACCTCAGGATCAGGAAAAATAAATGACTGATCCAAGGTCCCCCTGCACATAGGGAGTGGTGCCAAGACTAACCTGGGGATGGGCAGTGACTGCTCTGAGGTACCAAGCCCTCCCTGGATAGCACAGATAGGCCCAGTCCCTCAATGCCCCCTTGGGGAGCAGAAGCAGGTTATATCCCCTGGGATTTCTAGGGAGCAGAGTAGGGCCAGGCCTAACCCCGAACATCCTGGGGAGCACAGGCTCACCCCTGGGCAGCACAGCCAGGCCCAGACCCCTCTGGAGAGCATAACTAGGCCTGGCCTCCCAGACCCCCTGGGGAGCATAACCAGGCCTGGCCTCCCAGACCCTGGGCACCCTGGGGAGCATGGCCAGCCCTAGACGCCCTGGGGAGCACGGTCACCCCCCCCAGGCCCCCCGGGAAGCACCTGGCTGGGCTGGGTCTCACCTCCGGTGTACAGGAAGGAGCCGGACAGGCCCCCGAAGAAGATGAGTGCCAGGTGCTCGAGTTTGAGTGCCGACAGGCAGTAGAGGCAGGCGGCGCACACGCAGCCCAGTGTGTAGAGGAAGACCCCGAAGCGCACCACGTCCTGCGGCTCCAGGATGCGGTCCACGAGCGTCCGGTCGTCGCTCTTCTTGTGGTCAATGCCCTTGGAGAAGTCGTAGTAGGTGTTGACCAGGTTGCCGGCGCCGTGCACGGCCAGCACGGCCACGGCGCTGCCCAGCAGCAGGCCGGGCTGCAGCGCGCCCTGGGAGCGGTAGGCCAGCGCGCTGCCCAGCGCCACGGGGCTCAGCGACGCGCTGAAGCTCCACGGCCGCAGCGCCAGCACGTAGGAGGCACACTTCTGGCGCCACGACCGCGGCCCAGGCCCCGGCGCGGCCCCGCACGGGCAGCCGTTACCGGCCTTCTCCCCTGCGCCGGCGCCCGCACCGGCCGGGGGACCCTCGCCCGCCTGGATGTCGATCCTCTCCCCGGAGCTCTGGGCCGCGGCCATGGGGGTGGCGAGCCTGGGCTCGGGGGCGGGGCGGAGACGCGAGGGGGCGGGGCTAGCCAAGCACGTGGAGGGGCCAGGGAGAGCACGAGGAGGGGGCGGGGCTAGCGGCTGAAGGAAAGCGCGCGCGGGGGGACAGGGGGCAAGGGGAGGGGGCGGGGCCAGCGGGGGAAAGGGGTACCGAGGCAGTGCGGCTGCCGGAGCAGAGCCGGGGATCGGGGAGGGATGCAGACCCAGAAAAGGGTACGCGGGGCTGGAGCGGAGCTCGCTGCTCCCGGGAAGCGATGTGGGGGCTTCTAGAGGGGCTCGCCAGCTAGGGAGAGAAGGCTGAAACGTCACCAGGCGGAGGAAGGGAGCACCCGGGAAAGGAGAATTCGGGAGGTTGGCAGCTGTTCCGCAGGAGGCCTGACCTACTCTGACCCCACGGCCGTCCGGTCTTCCAGTCACCCCGGCTCTCAGTCAGAGGCAAGGCCAGCGCCGACCCGGATCTTTCAGCGCGTCCCAGGGGCCGCCATGTTGTGCGCTGGCCTTTGTCGGCCGTGCGGAAACCGGCTCCCTGCGCACTTAGGGTCCGGCAAAGAAGGGCCCTCCCCTTCCCTCAACACTGGGGGAGCTCTCCCTCCCTCCTCCCTAGGATCACTCATTGAGTTCCAGTCAACGAACTTGTGTTAAGCTACTGATACAAAAAGGAAAGGCCACGATACAGTGGAAAGAACACTGCACTGGTTTCCAACTCTGCTTCTGAGGCTTAACCTGTGTGACCTTGGTAACCCGGGACGTGTCATGGTGTTTTTCAATGCTTCATTCACTCTCGTCAGTTTTTAATAGTTATACCTCCGGTGCTTAGCACAGGTGCTAAATAAATGTTGTTGTTTTTTAATTAAATGAAAAGTCCCTCTGAGAGAGGAAGTCACTTGCCCAGGATCACGGGGACAGAATCCATTCCTCCTTCCATTGCCTCCCTGAGCACCAGGAAGAAAGATGAGGGGTCTCAGAGTTGGAAAAGAGACAGAGGTGTAGAGGCCCTGTGGCCCTATCTCCAGCTGAGCCACTGCTTTTCTGGGTGACCAGAGATGAGATACAATTCTAACCCTGACTCATGAACAGCTTCTATTCTTCACCCGGTCTTGGTTGTTTTCTTCCCCTTTATTGTTTATGTATGTTTTCATTCAAATCAAGAGGCTTGATGGGGTATCAAGGAACTCCTCCCACCTTAATATTCTCTGAGAGAATGTGATCTAAAAATCTCTTAATTACTCTGTGCCAGGCACTGTGCTAAATTTGCACATTACAAATGGAAGAGGAGCTGGGGCAGAGAAATCAACAAGAGGAAAATAAAGTTCATTATATCCAGAAAATTGGCAACACCCGGTGACCTTGGGAGTAGGAGAGGAGCAAGAGTCGTGGTGAGTGGGGCACGGTTGCATTGGTGGGCTATCTGCACCATTAGGGGAAATGTCCACGTTAATAAGATCACAGAATGCAAAGGAAGACAGTGTGATATGCAGATTGTGTAAGGAAGGAATCCAAAGTAAGGGAAAGATCAGCAGAGTAAATTGGGCTGGATCATGCAGGAGGTGAGACTGGAGCTGTGCCTTTTGAAAAATGAGTAATACTTGGGAACAATGTAATAACTCATTTCTATACTGAGTTCACAACCCTAGTGCAAGTATTTTTATGCCCATTCCGCAGATGCACAGGGTGAGAGGCTGAGGGTTTTGTCCCGGGAGTCCTACAAACAAGTACTCAGTGTCACAGTCTGGATTCAAACCCAAGTCCAGCTCACACATACACCCATACCCCTCACATAGTTTCCACTACTCCACGCTGCCACTCTAGGCAGAGAGCCAAGAGGGAGCATGAATGGGGAATGTGTAAGGCACGTCGCCACACTTGGAGCAGGGTTTGTGCTGGGAAGCAGCACAGCTGAGGCCTTGCGCTGGAATGACCTCGGGGTCCTTGATCCCAGCTGGGGTTAGTTAGGAAAACGCCTGAGTCCCCAGGGGTCATTTCACATGTAAAACCCCTGAATGCGACACGAGGGCTGCCTGGAGAGGGGGCGGGCCGAGAATCCGTAGCTGCTGCTCAAGTTCATGTGCGGATCCACGCAGGGGTCCACGCTGGGCGCTAACACGCGTGGAGGGAGGGGCTCTGAGCCGGCTCTCCAGGAATCCCAGCGGAGGTGGTACCAGGGAGAGCTGCCCAGCTGTCGAGGGGGCTCATTTCAACGCAGCACGCGCTGGAAGCCGGGTCGGAAGTGGCAAAGGCGGTCAACTTGCTGCTGATTGGTCTGTACCGGTGTTTCTCGGCCCGGCGCTCTCCTGTCACTGGATGTGTGGTTTGTCCATTTGAACTGCTCCCGCCTCCTTGGGGGGCCGGGTTCCAGAGCGTCCCTCCTTCCTCTCTACCATTGGCCGCCACACCCGCCCATCTCCTCCTCCGATCTGCCGGTTGGTCCTAGCGGTCCGGTGCCCCGCCCTTCCCCACCCGGCTCGGAGGGCAGCCGGGAGGGAAGGCGGGCGGTGTTGGGGGTGGGGGGGTTCCGGAGCTGCGGCGGCGCCTTCGGCAGCTGCACCGGCTGAAGGGAAGGCCGCAAGTAACGCAAGTCACGGTGAGTCTGGAGCCCGCCGCTCGCCTCCCTAGGCCGGGCCGGGGCTGAGACCCGGCCCCCCGCGCTGAAAGGAGGCCGCAGCGCCCCCGGGCGACCTGGGCCCCGCTGACGCCCCCAGGGCCCAGGAGCGGCCCCCGGGGCCCTTCCCTGCCCCGCCTCCAGCCTCCGCCCACTGCGCCCTACCGACCCCAGGGCCTCCTGGAAACCCCGACCCACTGTGTGCCCCCGGCCTAGCCAGAGACTCCCCAGAAGCCCCCTGCCTCGTCGGGGTCCCGCAGAGGTGCCCTCCGACCCTCACATGCCAGCCAAAGCTCCCCTGACTCCTCGGTGGCCCCCCCAGAGTTCTAACCACCACCTTCATGCCCACCAGAAGCCCCCCCGTCTCCACATGTCCCTCCAGAACGCCATATATGCTACCAGAAGGTTCTCTGCCTTGCCAGAGTGCCTGGGTGGAACCCTAATATCCTCCCAGAAGTTCCTCTGATTCACCAGAGACCCCTGGAGGTGCCCCCAGAACCCTCCCACGCTGTCAGAGGCTCCCTTGCCTCATCACGGACCCCACCAAAGTTCGCCCCAAGCTTCCCTGCCTAACCTGAGCTCCGCACGATCCCCATCTCATTCCTCTCAGAATGCCCCGTCAACAGCTCACCCACTCCATCAGAGACACCCCCAGAAATCCTCCAGACCTGTTACCAGAAAATCCCCCCCAACCCCTACCAATTACCTGTGCCAAGTCACCTCAGAAGCCCAGAGGTCCCCCAATATCATATTCCCTCCTGGAAGCCCACTCACTTTATGCCCCCGTCTCAGAAACGCTTTCAACGCCCCCAGGTCTATCAGCACCCAGAACGTTTCTTTCTTAATGGTTAATAGTAAACACTTATTAAGTACCTACAGTGTGCCAAGCACTATGCTGAGCACTGAGGATACAGATAGAAAAAGACAGTCCCTGCTCTCAAGGAGCTTACAGTCTAAGGAGGGAAGACTACACACAAAAGGAAGCTGAAAATGGGGTGGGGACAACCATTGAAGGGGCTTGGTGGAGAAGTTCAGAGTAGTGCAGCTGAGTGAGAAATGAAATACCTGAGCCTGGCCCCCTCCTTAAATGTAGATCTTGGCCCCACCCTCCTATCCTAGAGGCTGAGGGTAGTGATGGAGCTGATGGGATTTTATGGGATGATGAGCTTATCCCAACCAGGAGCTCCTGGGGCAAGGTGGAGAGGTCATCCGTTTTGAGAGAAGTTCCAGAATAATGCAGCCAGGTGGGGAATGAAGAGACCCAAGTCAATCACCTGCCCTTAGAAGATTTCTAGGCACCTTCTTAGACCCATTGCATATAACCAGGCCTATCCTGTACCCCCAGCCCCACCACTTCTGTAGACTGCCCTGGGTATTCTTCTAATCCAGCCCCAGCCTTTCCTGGCTGTCAGATGACAGATTTGAACTAGATAAGCTCAGAGGTCCCTTCCAGCTCCAATAAGGCCCAGGCCCCTTTCCTGGTGAAGGTTCAACTGGAGAAAAGGAAACTTGGGGCTACTGTTTGTCAAATGTTTGAAGGGCAGTAGCTGTGCTTGGCCCCTAAGGGCAAAACCAGAAGTGAGCAGAAGCTGCAGGAGGATGAATTTCCACTAAATGTGTGGGGAAACTTGCTCCTGGGCCCAGGTCCTAAGAAGGACTTCTGTGCCTGGAGGTCTTCGAGGGAAGCTGGGATGACTCATTTTCAGGGACTGAGGTCAGTAGTCTGGTAAAGACTGGATTAGGTAACCTCTCAGCTCCAGGCCTCTGAGTCTGTAAACATCATAGCTTCCACTTCAATAACACTCTATAGAAATGATTCTAGATGTACCCATCTACTACAGAATACTCTAAAAACAGATCTAGAGTAGATTTAACCTTCTCTAGGATCTACCTCAATTGATCCATTATACTGGGGAACTGAGGATATTTTGCCTAAAGAAAAATAGACTTGGGATAGATCAGTTGCTGTTTGTCACAGAGCAGAAAGATTAAATGTGTTTTGCATGACTTCGGAACAGAGAAGCTGGGGCAGTATGTCAGTTATTGGGAGGTGAGTTACAGGCTCAGTATTGAAAAGAGTTGATCAGAAAGCTGGCTGACCAGGGATTGGGTACTGCCTCAGGATACAATACCATTGTGCGGTAGGTAGTACAAATAGGATTATCCTCATTTTACAAATAAGAAAAAATTATGTTTCTGGAGGTAAAGGATTTGCTCATGGCCAGCCAGCTGTTTTAACAGGCAAAGAGCTGAGACTTGGTTCAGATCCTTCTCATTTCAAGTTGTGTTCTTTACCACATACTGTAAAGTAGTGAGTTCCCTGTCACCTGGGAGTATGTAAGCAGAGGCTGGGTAACCAAATGTCAGGGGTGTTGTATGTGGAATTTGTGCTTCTCAGAATTCAAATTGGAAGGTGCCACCAAGTCCAAAACCCATGCTTGACCAGAAATCCCCTCGGCAGCATATCTGATCCAATAAGCATTTTTAGACAAATGGTTACCCAGCCTGGGCTTGAAGACTAATTATGTTAATTCTCCCCCTCTCCCCCCATTCTGCGTGGCCTAGCTGCCCCCTGCCTTTTCAGACTTTATTTCATGTTGCTCATATCCAGCCAAACTGGCTTCCTACCTTGTCCCCAGACTCATCATTGTTTCCTTTCACAAGCACTGTTACAGGCTGTCCCGAACTTAGAATCCACTTGCCCCAGGACTCCCTAGCTCAGGTGTCTTTCCCAAATACCCTAGTTGTTAGTGTCCCTTCCCTTCCCAATTATCTCATATTTACTTACCTGGGTACATATTATATCCCCACCCCCCAACAGAATATAAGCTCCTTGGGAGCAGGAATTGTTTCGTTTTTGCCTTCATCTCCCAAGTGCCCAGGGTAGTGCTTTACATATAGTAGGTGCTTAACTGGTGTCGGTTTAAATTGAATTGATAACCTCTTACTAGAGGGAGCCTACTTCCAAAGCAGTGACCATGTCATTTGGGAGAGAGAAAGACTAAGGGGCCTTGTTCTTGGGAATGTGCTTAGAATAGGAGCACCACAGCATCCCCACTAGTCCCAGGCATCAGAGCCCATAGTATTTTGCAGCTCACATTGCAGTTTTTAATTTGTCGTGGCCACCTTTGTTTTCTCTGCAGAGAAACGATATTGAGCTGGACTCGACAGCCTTAGTCTGAAACTAAGATGTGCTCAAACTCTTAAAATCAGTCATTTGGAAGTTGGACATCTCTTCCACCTTGGGGTACCTGCTGGTCAAACCCTTGCATCTCAGAAAGTCAGAAATAGCCATTTGGGCCATTCCTTGGCTTCAGGATACAATCTCTACAGAGCTAGGAGAGTTGTCTGGGCCTTTATTCTGCAGGATCCCCAGGGCAGTCTCACACGCTGCCCTGTAGGGATGGATCTTGCTAGAATGTCTTCCCTGAGCTTCCCAGGGTCTGCGCTGGTCAGTGCTGAGGACAAGGGGTTATGATGTCATCACCGAATTTGGCTGCTTGAGGGGAGTGGAGAAGGGAGGGCTGCTGGCAGCTTCGGGCTGGCTGGAGGCTGGGACGAGTGACAGCCCAGCTGGTAGAAATGTGAAGTTAGGGAGAGAGTGCTGGACCTGGAATCAGGAGGCCCGGCGCTGCTACTCACTAGCTCACTTTGATCTTGGGCAGGTAGCTTGCTTCACTACCCTGGGCTTCTTTTCTCAACTTATAAAAGGAGGATTTTGAACTAGTGGATTTTCTGAGTTCATCTCCAGCCCTCTTGTTGTATCTGTCATTAATTAAGAGTGGGGCATCCCTCTCTGCAGGCTCCCTGGGCCCTGGACCCAGCACCACCATGTCAGGCACTGTGACCATCCTACAGCAGTTTGCCAGTGGCCTGAAGAGCCGCAGCGAGGAGACACGGGCCAAGGCCGCCAAGGAGCTGCAGCATTATGTCACCCTGGAGCTCCGAGAGGTCAGTGCAGCGTTGGCATGGGGGGAGGGCAGGGCATGGCACTTGAGTTGGTGGGTCACCGGGGTAAGGAACCTGGCAGTGGGACTGGAGGCTTTCCACACCAGCATGCAAGTTTGCTCATGTTTCTGAGGTCCTGCTGGATATGTATGCCTTCCCTGCTGAATATTGTCAGTCCTGTCTTCTTGCAGAGTGGTTTTACTGAAATGGGATTTCTATATGGAAACACAGGTTCAGGCAGGAGTCTGACCCTCAGAACCTAGGAGATGGGACTGTGGCACTGTCTTCCCTCATCCTACTTCCCCCCATTCACCTTGTCACTCAGGTTTGAAACCTTGGAGTGCTCCTGACCATTCCCTCTCCTTCTACTCCCCAGAGCGCATCATTGGCCAAATTGTTGTTGATCCATTTAGAGCCTGTCTCGAATCCGTCCCCTTCATTCCACCAAAGCCTCCTGTAGCAAGATCGGCGATGTGCCTCTTCTTACCTGAACCATTTCAGTAGCTCCTGCTGGTCTTCTGGCTTCTAGTCTTTTTCTTCCAATTTATCCTCCACACAGCTGCCAAATCAGTATTCCTAGCACAGGGCTGACCCTGTCACTCCTCTGCTCAGAAATCTGTAATGGTTCCTGGTTGCCTCAAAGACAGACTCCTCAGCGTGTCATTTAAAGGCCGCCTCCATGAGGCTCCCGTCACGCTCGCCAGTCTTGTCTTGTGTTGTGTGCCTTCGTGTACTCTCTGGCCTCCTCTGCCTTTGGGAACACAGTCTCCCATGCCCCAAATGCTCTCCCTCCTCACATTCACTTCCTGAAATCCCTGCTTCCCTCAAAGCAAAGCCCAGGAGCCATCTCCAGGAGGCCTTTGCTGCTTCCCTCTGTTGTTAGTACTCTTTCCTCTTGAAATTGCTTTTATGTTGCTACGTGTATTTTATATCGACTTCCTTGTGGAAGTGCTGTATTCCCCAGTTTGTTGTAAGCTCCTGGAGGGAGGACCTTTTGTTCCTGTCTTTTGAGTCCCCAGCACTTAGCGCAGAGCCTTGTACATAGGAGGGGCTTCATAAATGTTTGTTGAATTGCTGTTTGTGTGAATTACTGATGTCTGGAAGAAGGAGCCTTCCCTCAGGGGACAAAGAAGTTACTTCAACCTGTCCTCAATTTGCAGATGAGTCAGGAAGAGTCCACCCGGTTCTATGATCAGTTGAATCATCACATATTTGAACTGGTGTCCAGCTCAGATGCCAATGAACGGAAAGGGGGCATCCTGGCCATAGGTAAGAGAACCAGCCAGGGAGGGTTTCTTTCTATTTACGATCAATAGCCCTGGGCTAACAGTGGTCAGGAATTAGACCACACTAGTCCTTTCAGAGCAGGGCCAGAAGTCACAAACTGCAGCCACATTTCAGTGACTTGTCCAAGGCCCTTGCTAGTGTTCCTTTTCTGTCTTAGCCACTGCTCATTTGCACCTCTGCCAGAGAGTGGACCAAATAAATAATTGTATCCAAAGCTAGATAATTTTGCTCCACATGAGGGGCTCTGGTGATAGGTTTTAAATAGGGACAATTGAAACCTGCTTTTTAAAGTTCAAAATTAGGCTTCAATTACCTGCTTCTCAAAAAAAAAATCTGCTTCTTATTACCATTTATTCTACAAAATAATTGAGATTGCTGTATTACAAATAAAGGGGTAGATGGTTTACTTTCTTCTCTGGGCAGTTTACTTTGGGTATATGGTATCCCAGCCTCCACTCTCATCTTCTTTCTTCTCCCTTGCAGCTAGCCTCATAGGAGTGGAAGCCTATGCCACCCGCATTGGCAGGTTTGCTAACTACCTTCGGAACCTCCTGCCCTCCAATGACCCAGTTGTTATGGAGATGGCATCTAAGGCCATCGGCCGCCTGGCCATGGCAGGAGACACTTGCACAGCTGAGTATGTGGAGTTTGAGGTGAAGCGGGCCCTCGAATGGCTGGGTGCTGACCGCAATGAGGGCCGGAGACATGCAGCTGTGAGTACTCTGAAGATGAATGAAGATGAAGCCAGGCTCGGCGGGGCGGGGGGGGGGGGGGGTCTGTCAAGTGAGTATACACACACGTAGATGTTTAAAGAGAAAGGAATGGAGATGTCAGAGAAAATATCAAAGTATAGAGTAACACAGCCCACATTGGTCAGAGCTAACAGAGGTCGAAGGCTTGACCCCGTGGGTAACGAAGGTGTCTTACAGTTCTCCAACAGGCCGTCCTCCAGAATGCTAACTTGGTTTTTCCCCTCCTCAGGTTCTTGTCCTTCGTGAGCTGGCCATTAGTGTTCCCACCTTCTTCTTTCAGCAAGTGCAGCCTTTCTTTGATACTATCTTTGTGGCAGTCTGGGACCCCAAACAGGCCATCCGGGAAGGAGCTGTCTCTGCCCTCCGAGCCTGTCTGATCCTCACCACCCAGCGGGAACCCAAGGAGATGCAAAAACCCCAGTGGTACAGGGTGAGCAGGGTTTGGGTCATTCGGTAGAGTGCAAGCTTCCTGAGGGTAGGCACTGTTGGGTTTTTGTCTCTATTGCATAGCACTTTTGTTTGTCTCTGGCAGCCATCAAAGGATACATTTTTAACAGAGCCTCCCTTGTTCCCTCGGGCTGCTGGTAGGGCCGTTCAATGTCCCAAGAGCCAAGATTTGGGGTCCTAGAGGTTGTCTAGTCTGGCCCGCCCCCTTCACTGTACAGAGGCCCAAGGAGAAGAGGTGACTTGCCCAAGATCACATATAGAATAAGGGGCAGAGCCAGGTTCAGTGCTCTTCCCCCTTTGCTGTGCTGCCTTCTCATCGTGTTTACCCATGCCCCAGAAAGTAGGACAACAGTCCACCCCCTGGCTCCCTACCAGGCTTGTTATCAGGAGTCCCAAACCAGAGCTCTGGGTTAAACAGACTAGGTTCACTTGGCAGGGCTCCTCACAGATCACTGTTCAACCCACATCCCCACACCCCCTTCTTCCCTGGGAATCCCAGAATTTGGCTTGTATTTTGGTTTCTACAAAAAAGGGGAAAGAGCTTTCGGCTCCCTAGCAACCACTTGGAGTAACAAACCATTGATAGAGGATCGCTGTATCAAATGAAAAACTTGCATGTGGGTCAGAAAGAGTGAAGAGAGCCTTTCTCTTTCCTGTGAGCCCCAGACCTACAGAACTACCCTGTGGTTGATATCTCGCTTTCACCCCCAGGGAAAAGAACTTGGTGAGTTGAATACTTCCTCCAGGACAGCTTAGTGGAGGCATCAGTTAGCTCTCAAGGAAAAGGGCAAATGCTTCTAGATTGCCTTGACGGGAGAATAATGTGCCTATTCAGAGCCCCAGAGTATGTGCATGCAATTGGCCAGATTGTGGCTTATAGCGTGGATGCTATTCATTGAGGATATCCTCCCATCTCTACTTAGCACACCTATGAAGAAGCTGAGAAGGGGTTTGACGAGACATTGGCCAAGGAGAAAGGCATGAATCGGGACGACCGGATCCATGGGGCCTTGCTGATTCTCAATGAGCTTGTGAGGATCAGCAGCATGGAGGGAGAGGTGAGTGCCAGAAGCAGGGCCCAGGTCACGTGCACCCCAGAGTCCTTCACCAAGCAGTCTGCCCTATGTGTTTACCAAACAAAATCCAGGATAATGACTCTATCTCTGCGATGCCCACCTGTATTAAGTATCACTGTTCATTTCAGAATTTTCCCAGGAATTAAAAATATAGAAACTAAGGCTTTGTAGGTAGAGTGGACCAAGAATTAAAAGACTGTCAGATCACATCAGGTATTAGCTTAGGGTGTTGGATTTGGACGTGTGGATGAGCAAGCATTGAACAGTTCTCAGAGAACAGAATGACTGTACATTGTCACTCTTTCAAGTTTTCTCATACTTTTTGATGAAACCTGGGATTCTGAGAAAAAGTCAAGACCTGTTCCTCTCCGGAAGTCTGGGGAGACCAAAATGAGAACCTGCAGTTCCCCCCCCCCCCCCCCGTCAGGATTTCATCATGTTCCCTACACTTGAGCTTAGACTAGAGCGTGTGCTGAGGCTGTAGCACCTTCTTATGTCTACTTGATGAAGCTGAGAGTCAGCTCGTGGTGGGTGGTAGGCCCTAGCTACTCCTGTGTTGTTTCTCTGGTATTCAGTAGGTGGTGCTCTTCCCTTAAATTAGACCCGAGAAGAGGGTCCACCCAGTTGGAAGAGATGGGCACCTCGCCATTTTTCCTGTATTGGTTGCACTAAAGAGTCTGCAGAGGCCAAAGCTGGGAGCTACTTGTACAAGCAAATGATTTTTTTTTCTCCCTTTTGCAGCGTCTCCGGGAGGAAATGGAAGAAATCACACAGCAGCAGCTAGTACATGACAAGTACTGCAAAGACCTCATGGGCTTTGGGACAAAGCCTCGCCACATCACCCCCTTCACCAGCTTCCAGGCGGTACAGCCCCAGCAGTCCAATGCTTTGGTTGGGCTGCTGGGGTACAGTGCCCACCAAGGCATTATGGGATTTGGGACATCTCCCCTCCCAGCCAAATCCACCTTGGTGGAAAGCCGATGTTGTAGAGACCTGATGGAAGAGAAGTTTGATCAGGTGAGCCAGGAGAAGTTATCCTTTGGCTTGCAGCCTCCCTTCCCCTGTTTCTTGTCCTGACCTGTTACCTTTGCTGTCCCAGGTGTGCCAGTGGGTGCTAAAATGTCGAAACAGCAAGAACTCCCTCATCCAGATGACCATCCTCAATTTGCTGCCCCGCCTGGCTGCATTCCAGCCCTCTGCCTTTACTGGTAAGCCCAAGGCTGACTTCTGCCAAGTACTGGGCTGAGCAGATCACTTTCCCAGCACCCCTGCTGTGCATCCAGGGGCACCAGGAAGTGACTGCTCTTGTTCAGCTAGGGCCCCAGACATACGGACAGAGACCTCAAAAAGAGCCAATGGCCATCCAGCCCCATTCTTCTGTAGACACTCATCCCTGAGACACTGACTCATATCAGGCCCCTAGAGCCAAGACAGAGCAGCAGGACAAATAGAGCCAGTGAGGTGTTATGTGCAGGGTGGGCGAGAATGAGAGTGTATCGAAGGAGGACAAGGCAATTAGTGACATAAAACCATCAAGCCAGAGAGAAACGATTTCAAGAAGATCACCCATCTTTTTTCGATTTCCCCCTTCTTCCTGCCTGGCACGAAGCCTTCTTTAGTGACCAGATGGGCCCTGTTCAGTGGATCTCTAAATGAGCTCTGAATAAATGTGTGATGGCATCCAAGCTTCAAAAGGGGCTAATAGCTCAGCTCCGTGTGATCAAAGGCAGGCTCTGTGGGAGCAGTTACCTTCATAAGCTCAGGGGATTGCTTCGCAGGACAGAAAGGCCTCAGAAGGTCCCTAGATTTATGCTTTTGATGTTGGCTCTTTCTGTTGTTTTATTAAATAATACATTAAAATATGTAATAGAAATCTGGCCTGACAGGAACTCATGAATTCCTACCGTGTAGCTCCGGGCCACTTGTCTGAAGCTTTCTAGGTGAAAGCCACGCCTTGGTTCATTCTGAGTTCCCATAAACCCAGGCTCCTGGAATCTCAGCTATATTTGTCAGAGTTGTGATCCTGGTGACACTGCAGGTGTATAGTTCCTTTTTTTTCCTAGCATGCCAAATCTAGAAAAGGAAAATGAATGCCTCTCTTGGCTGTCTTTTTCAAAACCCAGCTGCATGCTATAATTCTAAGAACTAGCAAAATTGCACCCCCTTTCCCTCCCTCACCCAAATAATTAAAAGTCTAGGATATCAGTGGAAGATCTGGGTTCAGATTCTGCCCCAGATAGAACTATGTGACCCTGGGCAAGTCATAAAACCTTCCTCAGCCTCAGTTTCCTTTTCTGTAAAATGAGGTGATTAATTGATTGGTTGAACTGCTGACACTGTCTCAATATTGACATCTTTGTCAATTTTTGATCCTATGGTTCACTCTCACTTTGTGATAGTGTCTCAGCTTCTCATTTTCAGAGTAAAAGTATCCTTTCCCCAGCATATCCATCTGGAAGAACTCAGGACAAAGAGCATTTGTATTCTCTTACAGTAAAAAATAAATTATATATTTGTGACATACAGCAATTCGTTGTTCTTCCAACTGTCCCATCAGTGCCCCTCAAAATCCCAATCATTCTTTCTGTCATTCTTTGGTTCCCTCTGTGTCTGCCATATGTTTCTGGAGTAGGGCTTCTGAGACACTGTCAGGGGGATCGGAGAGAGAAAAGAATCGAGAAATGTCAATATTGAGACAGTGTCAGCAGTTAACACTTTAATTTGAATTGCTGGCATATGGATGTTAGCTTATGCAAATCAGATGGAAAAACATTTGAGGCTTTCCAAATTACAGATCTAATCCCCTTACATTAAGTATCAGTTATGATGAAGATCTGAGCAACAAAAAGATTTCCAAGCCATTGGCCCATTTATTGGAAGCAGTTTTCAATACAAAATAATTTATACAGTCCCTTGGAATTCACTGTTGTGAGATTTGACCTGTATTTCATAAAGATGAAATTCATCTTGATGATTGTGACCCAGATAGCTAAGTCTGAGCCTGCAAAATTGCCTCAGAACAAGATAACTGGTCAGTGCTACTCTTAGGAAATCTCTTTAAATGGTCTTCTCTTTAACACGGCTTTGCATCTTTCCAAAAGTGCTTTGTATGTGTGCCTTTAGCATAAGTCAGGTGATTCTCAACAGGATTGTAGGAGCTTCTTGAGTCCCTCTGATGACCTTTCCCTGCTTGTTTCATGCCCCCCTTGAAAGATAAACAGGACAAGACCACCCAAGCCCAGACCCAGAGACTCTTTCTCTTCTGTCTTCAGATACTCAGTACCTCCAGGACACCATGAACCATGTTCTTAGCTGTGTCAAGAAAGAAAAGGAACGCACAGCTGCCTTCCAGGCCCTCGGCTTGCTCTCCGTGGCCGTGAGATCCGAGTTCAAGGTCTATTTGCCCCGTGTGCTGGAGATCATCCGAGCAGCCCTCCCCCCCAAGGACTTTGCCCCTAAGTAAGCATCTTGGTTGTCCTCATCCCAGTGACCTCACCTGCCTGGAGGAGGGAGTTTCCTATGGCCCTTTCCATGTCATTCCAAGCTGTTCTCTGGTGTGAATGTCTGGGTGTGAAATATGGCTGATGGTACAAGGACATGCACCCCTTCGCCTAGTAGTGGGAGAGGAACAGGGATTAGCCCTTTCCTAAATAAGGTCATGTATATCTGTATTTTGAAAAAGTTAAAATCATGATGTAAATCATGTAGTAGTGGGAGGCAGTGATTTATAATAAATAAAACCCGTAAATCACTGAACTCAGGGCCCCAGACAACTCTAAAACCATGAGTCAATGAGCAAGGGCTAGCCCCTGTGCCAGTGAAGAGAATTCGCACATCAGGTATTTCTCACATGTGCACAAATAACAGGTCCAGGCCAAAAAAAAAGAGAGGTGGCAGTTGTCATTAACATGATAGGCAGAATGCAGTGTCCGGGAATAAGGCAGTACCTGTCCCCTTGTCTGCTGTCCTGCTCTGGCCACATCTGGAGTATTAGGCTCCCTTCTGAGCCCTACAGTGTAGAAAGAGTGTTACATAGAGGACAGTGGTGTGTCAAGGACTTAGAGGCCTTGTCTATGAGAATCCAAGCCAAGGACATCTCCCAGCTTAGGGCCTTGGAGGGGGGTATTGTCTTTCTTCGGGTTGTGATGGGGTGACATATACAAGAAGACTGAGACTCAGCAGAACTAGGAGCAGTGGGTGGAAGAAGAAAACCTCCCAGTGTTAGAGGTGTCCAGAGGTGAGACAGGCAGCCCCCACCTGGGGTGGGGGGGAAGCGTCCTGCAGAGGCTGGGTGAGCGCTTGTCCGGGAGGTTGCTGAGCCTCTTCTATTTCGTTCTGTTCTAGGAGCTGGACCAGACACCTTTGGGCTCCCTTTCCAGCTCTGATTTCCAAGGGCTCTCCCATCTCTGTTCTTTTCCCAGGCTCCCAGAAACCTTTAGCCCATGGCTGCATGGCTGGTGGCTTAGTTTGAGTTGGACAGTGGGTCAAGATCTAGGGAAGGGAGCTCTGCTGTAGTACCAAGGGCACTGATGTCTCCTTCCTGGCTTTCTCATTTACTTTCTGAATCACCATAGATGAGTCATTAAATGCCCCCAAACTTTACGTATCTCTCTGAGAATTGGGAAATATAATCCTTGGCACTCTTAAAAAAGGAGAGGCTTGGGAGATTGGGAATACTCAGGAGTAACTAGAAGGTGGCATTCAGGGTTGGGCTTGGCTTCTCCAAGCAGTGATCCTGACACCGTGGACAGCACCTTGATATCTTCCAGGTGTCACCCAGGAGTGATCCTGAGGTTGGGAGTGAGGCAGGCCACTCACTATATTCAAGTGGGCCATTGCTCTATTTCCCCGCAGGAGGCAGAAGGCAATTCAGGTGGATGCCACAGTCTTCACCTGCATCAGCATGTTGGCCCGAGCAATGGGGCCAGGCATCCAGCAGGACATCAAGGAGCTTCTCGAGCCCATGCTGGCCGTGGGCCTGAGGTACGTGTCCAGATGAGCTTCTGTGGGGCTCAGAGCAGGCAGGACCTTCACTTGAAGGGGTCAGTTCCTTGTTGCCAGGGGAAAACCTAGTGAGGTCATGAGCTGGCCTACCTTAGGCCAGTAGCTTTGGCTTTCCTCGTCTGCCCATGACGCCTGATAATACTCGTCCATCTCCGTTGCTTATGAGATCTAACTGAAAAAGGAAGCATTTCCCATTGTGGTGTATCAAACATGAGTGCAGTGGGTTTTGCAGTTTGTGCTGTCAGGTGGGCGCTTCCTGCTCTCTGAGCCCAGACTAACAGTTCAGGTTGTGTCTGTCCTGCCCAGAAGGAAGGGCAGTGGCAGTGGCGATTGGCGTGGCGATTGGCCTGGGCAGGGAAGGCTGTGGCACTCCCCATCTCCTGCTCCAGCCCAGCCCAGTCCCTACCCTGTCTTCTTCTCAGCCCCGCTCTGACCGCTGTGCTCTATGACCTGAGCCGTCAGATTCCACAGCTGAAGAAAGACATCCAGGATGGCCTGCTCAAGATGCTGTCCCTCGTCCTCATGCACAAGCCTCTCAGACACCCTGGGATGCCCAAGGGCCTGGCCCATCAGTTGGCCTCTCCCAGCCTTACCAGCCTCCCTGAGGCCAGCGATGTGGGGAGCATCACCCTTGCCCTCCGAACGCTTGGTAGCTTTGAATTTGAAGGTAAGAGACTCGACCGGCAGTGGTTCTGAGAGCCCGCCGGCTGGAAAATAGGCCGCGCCGGAGCTGTTAAGAGAAACTAGGTTTCGTGTTTTATAGAGTTGAGCCTTAAAAGGCATGAACTCAGGGGATATTGCCAGAGGTATAACTGAGGGTTATTGAGCTTGTGACAGTTTTTTCTGGGACCCTACCCACATGTTCCTAAGTTTTTTTGTTTCCCCTTACCCCATATTTGGGTTGGGCATTGCTCCGGAGCAGCACGTGATGGGCCGACGAACAGTGATGGTGGCCTGTGGCAGCTTCCCCGCAGAGCTGCCTGTTTGATGTCGCTTCAGTCCAGGGGATCTGGGAGGTTTATCTGTCAGCAGGGACAGAACCTTGGGTACTTCCCCTGCTGGAGGCTACTGGTTTTTGAGAGTCTGGGATTCTTGAAGTTTTATTGTGCCATTAGATAATGACATTCCAAGGCTCTGATGAGTCCTTCTAATGCACGAGGGAGATATTTCAGGGCAAGAAAGCACACTTGTGAAATGTGGGATCCGGGTAGCCGAGCACTGCTCACAGCTCCCAGAGAACCATCTGGTGCTTGAAGCCATCTTTCTGTGGCTGCCCTGCCACTATCCCTGCCCTGCTTGCCTTGATGAACACCTAGGCTCATGCCCACATCAGACCACTTTTTGGATATTTACATATACGCACTAAGATCCCTACTCAGAGATTCAGAAATACTTTGATCATCCTACCTGGGAACATACAGAGCAAGCATGGCTGAAACACACTCACTTAATTGGAGGGGGTGGGAGGGATGGAGAATCATTGCCCATCCTTCCTTTCTCTGTCATGCTACCCTGCCCACCCATACCAAAGCACATTTGTTTTCCCCTCCTAGCAAGAGAATTGTCAGTCAGTAAATTTTTGTTAAGTTCCTACTATGTGCTAGGCACTGTGCACAAGGAAGGGCAAAAGACATTCTCTGAACTCCCTTAGTCTAATGGGGAAGACAGTATGTACAAACAAGCTTATGTACAAGGTAAATAGTAAATAATTAAGAGAAGGAAGGCACTAGAATTAAGGGGAATGGGGAAAGGCTTCCTATAGAAGGTAGGATTTTTTTTTTTTGGTGAGGCAGTTGGGGTTAAGTGACTTGCCCAGGGACACACAGCTGGTAGGTGTTGGAGGCTGTCTTTGAACTCAGGTCCTCCTGACTCCAAGGCTGGTGCTCTGTCCACTGTGCCACCTAGCTGCCCCAGAAGGTAGGATTTTAGCTGGGACGTGATGGAAGCCAAGAGGTGGAGATGGGGGGAGCGTGACCTATATCTTCTGGGTCGGTGGCTGTGAAACGAGGGGTCCTTCTAGCCAGCTGCCGGTGTATCTGAAATGCCAACCAGTGTCTGCCCTGTCTTCTCTCCCTCCATGCACCCAGGCCATTCTCTGACCCAGTTTGTCCGCCACTGTGCCGATCACTTTCTAAACAGCGAGCACAAGGAGATCCGCATGGAGGCAGCCCGTACCTGCTCCCGCCTGCTTACGCCCTCCATCCACCTCATCAGCGGCCACGCGCATGTGGTCAGCCAGACGGCAGTGCAGGTGGTGGCCGATGTGCTCAGCAAATTGCTTGTAGTGGGAATAACAGACCCAGGTAAAGTATGTATGCAGAATGGGGGTTTGGAAGGGGGAGAAAGCTGTGCCTTCAAGAGCCTGGGGACGCTGCCATGGTCATTTCCAGGACTTTAAGGGGCTGTTAGCCCTTTGTTCTGTGCTAGGTGCTGTCCAGCAGGTCGTACCGATGTGGTCCCTACCCTCCAAGAGTTTACCATCGGTCTCCTTCTGATCTTTTTGTCATCCTGGTACATGGGTTATACTTGCAAGTATAAAAACTTTTAAATAAAGCGAATCTGAGTTCTTTGACTAGTCAGCAATTCAGACTGCCAAAGTGTCCTGATTTTTAAGTCAAGATCTTGCTTTGGGTCCCGGTTCTGCTGCATTGTCCTGTGTGTCCATGGGTGCATCACTTCACCTCCGTAGGACAAGGTGCTACCTTTGTAACAATGACATGGTTGGACTGTATGCTTACTCAGGCCTCTTCTAGCGCCTACAGTTTTATAACCAGCGGGACTGCAGCTGTCTATGGCTGTCATCATTCTCACCAACTTTGTGGCTACGGGCCTTGTAGAGAAAAAGACTGGGTTGCTTCTTTAAAAACACAGTGTTGCCCTTAAGTAGGCCAGAGTCCTCTCTGCTAAAGGAAGAACTGCCTTGATCCATCCTTGAAGGCGAAATAACAATTCTTTCCAGAGGTTTTGAGCTTGGCAGCTCCAGCCGGTCCTGGCTGGGTTGGCCTCTATGCTTAAGGTCAATCTGTCTTTTATTTCGTTCCATTCCCTTTTATTTCCACTGGCAGAAAAAAAATCCAGAGGGCCAAATGAGAGAAGGCTCTCACGAGCTTTCATACCTGGGCGAGCAGTAATAGGGACTGGATTTAGGTCCGCCGTGACTTCACGCCTGGGTAGCTGGAAGGTTGAGCCCGCCCCCGTCCCTCGAGTCACTCGGTTTGCAACCTTGGCATCACTCGTTTCCTCTCCCTCATCGATGGCCCATGTCCAGTCAGCTGCTGAGTCTTGTCCGTTCTACCTCCACAACGCCTCTCCCCGCCGTCCCCTTCACTCACCTCCCCAGCACTGTCATTCAGGCCCTCAGCACCCGTTGCCTGGATGATTGCAGTGGCCTCCTGATGGGCCTGCCGCCTCCACGCTTACCCCCTCGAGTCCATCCTCCGCTGGGTCACAGTCTGACCAGGTCACGGTCTGTCTTTGAAAGCCTTTCCCCGTCCAGCTCCGTTTCCACACTTAATCACATGACTCCCCTTCATGCCTTGTGCTCCAGCTTGGGCAGCTGTTCCCCAAGCTCACTGGGCCGTCTCTCCTCTCTGTGCCTTGCCTGGTCATCTCCTGTGACTGAAGCTTCTTCCTCACCTCCGCCTCTCAGAGTCCTGCAAGGCTTAGCCCAATTATTGCCTCTTGTGCAAAGTCTTTCTTGATCCTCTTGGTTCTCAATGCTTCCTCCTTCCTGAAATTACTTTGTATACACTTATCTCTGTATATAACGTGACCCCCAGTAGATGGTAAGCTCCTTGAAGGCAGGAACTGTTTCATAAATGTTTTGTCTTAGTATCTTCAGTACCTTACACAGAGTAAGCACTTAAAAAGTGTCTATGGAATGTACTGACTTGAGAGAGGCGAGATTGAGTAGATGGCCACGTGGTCAAGCTCTTACTTGCTCTTCCAGACCCTGACATCCGTTACTGTGTCTTGGCCTCCCTGGATGAGCGCTTTGATGCTCACTTGGCCCAGGCAGAGAACCTGCAGGCCCTGTTTGTGGCCCTTAATGACCAGGTGTTTGAGATCCGGGAGCTGGCCATCTGCACCGTGGGCCGCCTCAGCAGCATGAACCCTGCCTTTGTCATGCCTTTCCTGAGGAAGATGCTCATTCAGGTAAAGGGCCTGGCTCTTGAAACTGGGCAGTGGGGAAAAGCACCTCCCAATGGGACTGACACCCCAGGGCTGACCTCTTGGTGGGTCGGGGAAGGACAAAGGCTGAGCCCATTTAAAAAAAAAACTGAGTCTGGGGGAACTGGAAAGTGGCTTAAGCTTTTTTATTATTTAGGAGATTAGGACAAGCAAGGATGGGCTGAGACCTCTTTCCTTGGAGGGAGCTCTCAAATCAGGGAGGAGTCATTTAGTGAACATTGCAGTCCAGTGATTGATTTCGATGATGGTTTGATTAATTGCCTGCCCTTAACTAGGGGGTCTAATAGCTGACATTTTTACCTGGCTTTAAGCAGGAGTTATTAACCGCATCGGCTGGCTGGTGAAGACTGTGGATCCTCTCTCAGAATCATGTTTTTAAGTGCATAAAATACAGAGAATTATAAAGGAAACTGATGATATCAAAATACAGCTATCAAAATCTTTTTTTAAAAAACAAGGTCACAGAAATCAGTCAGCTTGCATTTATTAAGCACCTACTCCATCCAGGCATTGTGCCAGGCACAGGGCTTCAAAGAAAGGCAAAAGATAATCCCTGCTTTCAGGTAGCTCCCAGCTTGAAAGGAGAGGGGACAAACAGCTCTGGTCTTTCAAGAGAAATCAGAGCTAATCAGCAGCGGGAAGGCACTGGCATTTCAGAGGATCAGGAAAGGCTTCTCAGAGGTGGGGAGATTTAGCTGGATCTTGAAGGAAGGAAGCCAGGAGGCTGACGTGAGGAGGGGGAGCACTCCAGGCATGAGGGACAGCCAGGGAAAATGCCTGGAGGCGGAGGCTGGTGTCACTGGCTCACAGAGCACCTAGGGCTGGCTGGGAAGGGTTTTCAAAGCCCTGGTAGTAACTCTTGCTTTAAGGTTTGCAAAACTACATATATAATCCCGTTGGAAACACACAGCACTCCTGCCAAAGGACTTATTACATCCCCATTTTGCATTTGAAGAAACTGAGGCCCAGAGATTATCCTGGCTGCACAGCCTGTCAGTGCGGCAGCCTACATTTGAGCCCTGGTCTTTCTGACCCTAAACTGGGACATCAGCGTGTCCTGTAAAGAGGAGCTCAGTTTAAAATGAGCTGGCTTAATGAGCACATTTTGTTACACTAACAGTCCCCATTGAGAACAACTGATTTCAGTTTTTAAAAAAAGTTTGCCATTAAGTCCTGTTGTAGGTGCTGGAGATAGCAAGTGAAACACCATGCAATCCTTGCCCTCTCGGAGCTTACGCTCTCCTTGGAGAATGAGATCAGATGGTCTTGGCAGTAACTGTAAATCCAAGTAGAAGATGCGTATCTGGGAGAAGGCCCAGAGGGGTGTGCAACTGGGAGGGAGGGCTTACTGCTAACTGAGAACTTGACCAGAGATGAAGGAAGGCAGGCTTCATGGAAGAGGTAGCATGTAACGCACGTAGCTCACGCTGGAAATTAGAGGCAGGCCAGTTTTCTAGTTCACTGAACTTTATTCCTTGAAGGGCCTAATTTAAAGGGAAAAATGTTTGAACAATCTTGGGACAATTCTGATAAGCATTGTTTTAGTAGGCAGTGCGGAAGGGGCATAATCTGAGCTTTTCTCAATACCTCAGACTCATTGCTCAGAATATCAGTTAGTGGATTGTACAGTGATGAGCCTGGAATCACTGGGCATGTGAGCACAGGCGAATGCTATGGGAAGGACACAGGATTGGCTGTCAGAAGACATGGGCTCCCATCAAGCCTTGTACTTGTTACCTGTATGACTTTGGTCAAGTCACTTAACTGTGGGGGCTTTGCTTCCCCCTTCAGTAAAATAGGGGGTGGACATAGGATGCCACCCTTTCCCCCTCCCCCGGGGGGGCACTTTCAGGTTAATGTGCCTTCTTTTTCCTTTGCTGTCACCTCTCCCTACTGTTAGTGTGTCTGCCACCAGCAATCACCCTCTCCCTTTTTGCTGCTATTTGCCTGTAACCTAAGAAGGATTCAAGGTTGCCAGGGAAAATGAGCAGCCCAGTTTATTGAGTCAGTATCCTGAAATTTATGCACAAATACTAAACCATTAGGCTCTGAATGCAGATACCAGCCCTCCTCTCCTTTGGAATAAAATAAATGGAAGCTGCAAATGCCCTTTTTCTCATTGCTTAGAGTGGCATTGTTTCAACGTTAGCAAGCATCTGAAGGTTTACGGGAGAGTTTCACTGTTGTGTTAATCAGCCTGAACTTGGTGATGCTTAATGGACATCATCTTGGATGGTTTCGGATTTACATCTACTTTTACCTTCATGCTTCATAGGCCAAAAAAACCCTACTGATTTTTGCAATCACATTTTAAATCTCTAGCTATGACCAAAAGGGGCTGGCCATGGCTTCTTTGTACAGTGCTCTAGCGCTGACGTGGTGGGGTTTGATGTGTTAGCCGTTTGCTGCCGAGTGCCTATCCCTTTTAAAATGGCCATCTTTGTATAGCCTGTCCTCCAAGAGAGGCCTCTATTCCTTGTTGCTGCAGAGTGTTGTCCACCCCTGTTGCTTGTCCAGCAGTCAAAGCTCAGTGATGTTAGGCCATCCTTCAGGGAGTGCCAGGAAGTTCTCAAGTGAATATAAGTCAGTATGGAAGGGAAGGTATCCGGCAGGTTTCTCTTTCAGTCCCGCTTGTTACAGGCCACTCTAAAGGTCTTTGATAACCTGTAGTATCCCTCTCTGGATCCCATTTGCCCCTGCTCTCTCTCTGAGGAATGTCTCTCCTCTAGAATTTCCTTTGCTGTAACAAAATTTTGTCCTTTTCCTTCAGATTTTGACTGAGCTGGAACACAGCGGAGTCGGAAGAATCAAAGAGCAGAGTGCCCGAATGCTGGGGCACTTAGTTTCCAATGCCCCCCGGCTCATTCGCCCCTACATGGAGCCCATTCTGAAGGTAGAGGAGACCTGGGCAGTGGTCACCTTTTTGTCTTGCTGTGGAAGCTTGCTTTTTCTTTGCCGATGTAACTCATGTCCACTATGGGGGAAGTGATTGCGGTCAGTGTTGAATGGTCGACAGCTAGCTATCTAATCTTTGCCATCACAGTTAAGGGCGCGAGGTCCAGATCAGAAATACTCACACACGTACCAGCTGTGTGACCTCAGACAAGGCACTTAGCTCTCAGTGCCTCAGGCCGCTGCCTGAGACTAGGTTGCATAGCTCGTTGGGCCATGCATCAGTAGATGGAGTTTCCCCAACAGGAATTCTTTAGATCAATGAATTTTGGTCCCCAAATAGAATGATACTCAAGTACACCAAACCCCAATTCACAGGGGGAGTGAGGTCTAGAAATAGTTACTAAAAGATGAAGGTGTGTTTTGAATCTGACTATATTAAAGTAACATGGACCATTTCATAACATTTAAATCTATCCAAATATAATTTATAGGAATGAGGTGCAATATTTTCACATTCTATTACTCTCAACTCCCGATTAGGTTAGTCTTACGGTCTTGGTAGGGAAAAGGTTAAGCATTCATGCTCCAGATAGACCCTCATAGGAAACCCTGAAAAAAGTCGATTGGACATAGTTGGGTTGGCCCTTTAGGAGGTAACCTTCAAGTACAAATTGATATAAGAAAATGTCCTCTTGGGTGAATAGTAATCTGCCTGCCTTTCCTCATGTCTTCCCTAGGCTTTAATTCTGAAGCTGAAAGATCCAGACCCTGACCCAAACCCAGGGGTGATCAATAATGTCTTGGCTACAATAGGAGAGCTGGCCCAGGTAAGGGTGCCCTGCTTCTTCTGCGAGCTCCAAGGGTGTGGAAGTGCTTCCAGAGTCAGGCTTGCCAGCACCGCTCCTGTGGTCAATGAGTAGAGGAGTTTGATGGAAGCCCCCTCCCTCTCTACCTGCAGGTGAGTGGCCTGGAAATGCGGAAGTGGGTCGATGAGCTCTTTATCATCATTATGGACATGCTGCAGGACTCCTCTCTGCTGGCCAAGAGGCAGGCAAGTAACAGAGTGGGGACAGGGGGGATGGAAGGGAAACTGACCTAGCGCCAGGATCAGTGGGCGTCTTGAGAACAGTCCCTTATCAACCAGGCCTCACTCACATATGGTCAGTTCAGTACCTCCTACGGGCCAGGAGTGGTGCTAATGTGGGAGATAAAAGTACAAAGATTGAGACAATCTCTGCTTATAAGAGCTTATACTCTAAGGAGGAGATGACATAAAGTGCCTAAGTACAAAGTAGTTAAATTGTTCTAAAGCCCAGTCCCATCTTTGTCATTCCCCTACTCAAGAAACTCCACAGGGCCCCGGATTGCCTCTCAGGTTTGGTGTCTCGGAGGTGACGCAGTGCTCCTTGGAGCTCTGGGCCTGGACCCTCCCTAGCAGGGACCCTGCTGGGTGAGTCACTCCACCTATTAAATGGGGAGCTGTTGATATCCCCTCCCTCCCAGGGGTGTTGTGAGCACCAGACGGGATCAGATTTGTAAAGCACATGGCGTGGTGCCTGGCACACAGGAGGCCCTTGGTAAGTACTGGGGGCCCATGGGCCTGACCTGTCTTTCCAGGCTTATTGCCCATCCCTCCTCTTGCTGCAGTCCTCTGGACGCACTGGCCTTCCTGCTGTGCCCTGAGCTCAGCTCTCCGTCTGCCCTCTGGGGGCCTAGCACACACCCCCTCCTCATCTTGGCATCCGTATTCTCCTTCAAGGCTCAGCTCTCAGGTGCTCTCCTGCAGGCTCCCTTTCCCAAAAGACTGCCTTAGTTTTCAGGGCTTGATGACCCCTCTCCTCAGATAAGTATGTAGACACCTGTCTCTTTCCAGGTTAAGTTTTCCCAGTAGAATGTACAGTCTTGAGGACAGGGACTTTTATTCTTTCTGTGTTTTATTCCAGGGACTTGCAGATGTTAGATATTTAATAAACACTTGCTGAATTGGTTTGGATTGGACTAGATCAGGATGACCTTTTTCCATGCTTTTACTGAGTGTTAGAAACCTTGGGTCACACCCCCAGCCATGCTGCCTCCACCATCCTCTTCCTTAGTAACGTCAGTCCATCTGGTCTGTCAGCTCTCTAAGGAGGCCATGCTCTGTAAGGAGGCCATGGTCCATCCACAGGCCCTTCTCCGCACTGAGTCAGCAGACCAAAGGTGGGGTAGGATGGCTGCCAGAGTGTGAAGTCATTCCAGAGCATCCAAAAAAGACGGCTCTCCAACCCCAGTGTCCCCGTTTTCTCCTCTCGGCGCTCTGAAGTTCTGGGGTTGGAATGCTAGATGAAGAAGGGAACGTGTAGAGAGGGACATGAGAGTTCTCCGGTGTTTGAAGGCCTGTCTTCTAGAGGAGGGTCGGATCTGTTCTGTGTGTCCCCGAGGGATAGAGCTGTCCAGAAAGTGGTTTGGACTGCAGGTCTTCCGGGGGGCTAGGTTTGGGGCGGGATCTATCTCAAGGTTTAGTGGGACTCAGTGATCATGACTCCAGGATTCCATCTGCGCCAGCCTCCAGGATCTGTTGGGAAAACTATTGGAGAGCAGGGGCTGGTTCATTTGGAGGCTGTATACTCCCAGCACCTAGTGCTGTGCTTGGCATGCAGTGGGTGCTTAATAAGTACATGTTGACTGATATGGAGAAGCACAGGCCTTCAGTTTACTTGGGTCCAGCCCTACTTCATTCCTAGCCATCTAATGTTTAGATCACCCTCAGAACCTTTCCTTACTGGGCTGGATTTAACCACAGCCTTCACTTTCTCCTTGAATTTAGAGTTCTCTCAGATCTTCGCTTGCTAGTTTTTAAGGTTGTGGAAGCAGATCTTGGGTTCTTCTAGAAAAACTTTTTAATCCCGGGAATGAGAGGAAAGCCCAGTATATTGTCCCCTCGTCTACTGGAGGTTTGTGGTTAGCCAGCTGTTTAATCTGCCTGGACTTAGGGGACCCTCTTCCTGGTTTAGAAGAAGACAGTCTGTTACAGAGAAACTGCTCTGGGTACAGCTTCTGACTTTTTGTTGTCAGCAAAGAGATCACTGGTGTTTTTCCTTTCCCTTAGTTCTCCAAAGACTTGACTTGTTGGTTTTTACTTCTGCTCCAGGTAGCACTGTGGACCCTGGGGCAGCTGGTGGCCAGCACTGGCTATGTGGTGGAGCCTTACAGGAAATACCCGACTCTGTTGGAGGTGCTGCTGAACTTTCTGAAGACCGAGCAGAACCAGGGTACCCGAAGGGAGGTAGGAAACTGAAGCAATTTGGCTGTGCATAGAAAAGAAAGAGAGAAGAAAATCTGGAGTGTTCGCATTTTCTTGCGATCGGCCATCTTTCTGTGATCTCAGGGGCCTAGATTTAGAACAGGCCAGGGGCTCAGAGGTCATCTGGTCCAACCCCCCATTTACTAGACAAGGAAACTGAAGGTCAGAGAGGTCGTGACTCACTTGTTGTCCCTGGGTCTGCTCGTCAGAATGATGATAATAATAGCACTTAGAAGTTTTGTATAGCACTCTGTATATATACCCACAACAACTCTGGGAGGTACGTGCTCCAGCTATGACCCCCTTTTTCCAGATGAGGAAACTGATGCTCAGGTGAAATGATTTGCCCAGGGTCACACAGCTGGTAAGCCTCTGAGGTGGGGTTTCCTGACTCCACATCCAGTGCTGTGTCCACTGCACCACCTTGCTGCCTAAGAACGGGCTTCCTTTGCACGAACCTAGAAAGAGTGTCAGGGCAGGGGAGGGCAGTGGGCTATGTCTGGGGCAGCAAGGGAGGGCCTAGTTTCCTTTTCCCCTTCCTCATGCAGGCCATTCGAGTGTTGGGGCTTTTGGGTGCTTTGGATCCCTACAAGCACAAAGTGAACATCGGCATGATTGACCAGTCTCGGGATGCTTCTGCCGTCAGCTTATCTGAGTCCAAATCCAGCCAGGATTCCTGTAAGTGGAAGGGGGAGTTGAGCCTGCCAGGTCCCTGAACGTTGGCGCTTGGGCAGGTTGTCTTGTAGTCCTCGAAAGTATTAGGGCATTTAGTCATTTTTGAGTGAAAAGTCAGTTTCACCTAGTATTCAGAATGGAGTTTGCTATTTTGTGGCGAGCCAGAGTATGCATTCATTCATTAAACAGCTTGCTATGGAGGGCTTGTTTTCTCTGCAAGGCCCTAGGGGAGGTGGAAGGGGAGAGTGAAGAAGCAGTCTCCAGCCTCCTGAAGCTTCTAGCTTGGTGGGGGTGGGGGCAGGAGCGGGAGTGGGGAGGAGAGCACTCCTTCTCCAGGTTCTTTGTCTTTTCTGGGGCTCTGAGATTCATAAGCTGTTTTCATTCTTAATTCTCAGAGCAGGTATGGGAGGGAGAAAGATGTTGACATCTTATTGTTCTCCAGTGTCTCTTTGATATAATTCATTCCCACAGCTCTTCTGGGAGGCAGAGTTCAGAATTTGTTTTCCATTTTGAAAGATAGATTTTGCCCTAGATTTCCCTAGAAAACCAGTTAGCACACTCATACCCAAGGCTTTTTTCTTTCCACTAAATACTAGATCTGTTAGTCTTCACTGCCTTTCACAAGGGTATTTTTGTCCTCACAGTGGGTGATATTTGTCCCTGTCTTTGACAGCCACTTCAGGGACCCATTCCTCGCCAGTGAAACAGGCCTTTATTTATTACCTTTATTTCTTACCTTTATTCCTTATGTTAAGGAGATTAAATCTCCCACTCCCTTCCCTGGCCCAAAAAGAAGCTTCAGTAAGTGATCTCATGCCATTGATTCCATAGCAGATCCAAGTCATTGGGAAGATAAAGTTCAGGGTCTGCTTTCTTGTTCACATCTGCCTTCAATCCCTCGTCTTCCTTCCAGTATGAGTCCTTATTCCTCTCAGGCCCCTGTTAAATCACAGGACTTCTCCTTAAGAGCCTGATTTTTCTGGTCAGGTATAACTTTCTGTTAACTCAGCTGAATTCCCCAGGGGTTTGAGGGCCAAGCAGCTGTTGAACAGATGTTTGCCTAAATGAATCCACTAAATTTCAATTACTTTCATTTGGGAGAGTAGTTATTTTTATTGGTCGCTTCAGCTGCTAAGATGTGAACAATAACCGTAAGAAGTTAGGTCAGATGCATACCATTGTAAGGACCCTAATCCATGAAGCCGACTTTTAGAGTCTTGTTTGAGCAATAGAGGAAGGCCCTAGAGTCATTTTCTTCCGTGATGGTGGTGATTCTTAGCACATTGCTGTATTCTTCGTGATGTTAGAAGGGAAGAAAGGTGTGTGAAAGAGCAGCTTACCAATGCTTATTGCCCTCCCCGAAGCCAGGCGTGCGTTGTATTTAGATGCTGTCTCTTTGGCTTTGTCCCAGCCGACTACAGCACCAGTGAAATGCTGGTGAACATGGGCAACCTGCCTCTCGACGAATTCTACCCAGCCGTGTCGATGGTGGCTCTGATGAGGATCTTCCGAGACCAGTCCCTCTCCCACCATCACACCATGGTCGTTCAGGCCATCACCTTCATCTTCAAATCCCTGGGGCTCAAGTGCGTTCAGTTCCTGCCCCAGGTCATGCCCACATTCCTCAATGTGATCCGGGTCTGTGATGGTGCCATTCGGGAAGTAAGTAGGCAAGGGAATGTCTCCCTGGCACCCCTCTTCATATCAGCTGTCATCCCCTCTGGCTCCTGGGTGATGTTTCTTTGGGTGACCCCATGCCTGCTGTGGTTTTGTCTCCCCCGGTTCATTTCACGAAAGAGTAGTTTCCACATTCCAGCTTTGCCTGGTCCTGCTCCCTGGCTCCAGTGGCCCTGGGGGTTTGCCCTGCCATTTGAAGAGTCTCTGGCTTTGCTCCTGAAACCAGGCCTGTTTGTCATCTTAATTTACTGGACTAGATTCAATGGCTCCTCCTCATGTCAAGTTGAATCCCTCAGGGTATTGATTCCAGGACTGTTTTATCCTACTGTTTAGGAAGCTAGGAAGCCCGCTTGCTTCCTGGTGATAGATGGTGCTTTCTCCCTGCTCTGTTCTAACCCGAAAATACCTTCGTGCTTTGGCACCTTGCCACTGGCCAGTGGTCAGGGTCCTGGAAAGGGGCCATCCAGGTGCAGGGGAGAGCATGCCAGCTGCCAGTGCAGGTGGACTCATCCCATTCACTCTCAGAGGGAGTCCAGTGCCCCAGATGCCTTGTTTAAAGAGTTGATACGACAAACGTGTGTCAGATCGACATTCTTATTCCAACTGAGGAAATGATTTGGAAAGAAAAGGTGGAATTCCTCAAACAGGAGTCCCCCACTTGTTGTTCCTCTCAATACCCAGCTGTCCCTTGAGGCGAGAGGGGAGATTTTTCTTGGGAATGGTTCCCTCAACCTGACCATCCCACTCCAAGCTTCAGTACTTTTTATCCAAAAATATTAATTTGCAAGTGAAAGATATTAGTTTAAAAAAAAACTCAAAGGGAGAAGAAATGATCTGGACCATTAAAGGATGCCAAAATTGCCTTTTGGTAACGTCACATTGCCACACCTCCACAAATCAGACCCCTTGGAGGTTTCCTTCATCAGAGCCTGGCCGTGCTCTCTGGAAAGAATAGTGCAGCTTTTTTCTTTCCAATGATCGTTTGGTCTTCTTTGACCTCCCTGCCACCCAGAATGTTTTGGTGTTCCCTCGCCTAAAGTCTGTCATCCTGCCTGTGTGAAGAAAATTCAGTCAGAAAATACTTAGGTGAGGAGTTTTAGTTTCACCAGCCTCCCTAATGGTGGTACAGAGCTTTCTGGAGCACTTAACTTTAGCGAAAAGATCCCTGGGAGATGAGAGTCAGCCCATTGACTCAGAGTCCTGAAGCATCCAGGCTAGGCCTGAGCTGGCAGGAGCTGCCCCCATGCGTCACCCAGTCATTCATAGGTTTGCCCAAACTCCCTTGGAATTCATCTCCGTTTCTTGCCAGTGCTGCTTCTTGAGGCTACTGCCTTCTGTCAGGTTAATTAATTAGCCTTGCATGAAATCAGTGTTCCTTTTATTTGTCCTAGACTTCTCCCAATCCAGTTTCAAAGATGAAACTAGAAAGATAGGTCTGGATCTGAGTGCTTTAGTGGAGAGAGCAGAAGCACAGATAATGGGAAAGTCATTTGTGTTCAACACTGGAGTGTGGTTATATGCTCAACTCTTAGACTGTCTTTTCATTGATCTGGGAATCGATCATACCAATAAATTAATGACGCTACTGTGAAGACACTGCTCCAAAGAGCTGGGAAGGCAGCCCCCCACCCCACCCCGTTCTTTTCCCCTCCATAATGCTGCCACAGACTAGGATTGCAGGTTACGGTTCTCCTAGCACTGATGTACACGGGATCTCATTTGCTCCTTAGAGCACTCCCTGGGACTTATTCCCATTTCACAAATGTGAGGAAGCTAAGGGTTAGGGGCTGCCAGAAGGTGGAGGAGCTTGGCTTTTCTCACTCCACCAGTCCCTCTCGCCTTCCTCATCACCTTCCTCAGCTCTGCTGTTTGCATGATCCCAGGAGTGGGGACCATCACCAGCCTAAGTAAAGCTACCTTTTTTCCTTCCTCCCAAAACTTTGCTTGCTGGATAGCTCGTACCATCTCTGGAAGCATTCAGACATAAATTAATCATTGTTTTTTAGCTTTTTTAAAGAGAATTCCAGACTTCCAAACGTGTTGATAATGTTCACCATAAAAATTGCTTAAGCAGAGATGTTTTTACTGAGATATTAAAAGCAAAGCTTGCCACAAATAAACAGCCTCCAGATCATAGAGAGCTGGCTAGTTACCAAATTGGAGTGATGGCAAATTAGGGTTGAATGAACCCAACAAGTATTTGTGGTTCACAAAAAGCCGCGCCCTCCCCAGCGTTAGTCTGGGCTGTCTCTGGGCATTGGTCTTGAGGGCTGGGCGGGCACTAATGTCTCCTTTTTAGTTTCTGTTCCAGCAGCTGGGGATGCTGGTGTCCTTTGTGAGAAGCCACATCAGACCTTACATGGACGAGATCGTCACCCTTATGAGAGTGAGTGGAGCCTTTCTGCTTGGCCACAGCTGGGGAGTCCAGAGAGGGCTTGGAGCAGAGCTGGATAAGAGGCCCTTTTCATCCCTGACCCATTGCAATGGAAAAGCTTCCTAAAAACCCCAAGTGACAGTTGATCCAAAGCACATCCAGCTAGGTTTAGAAGGTTGATTTTGTCCCTGGCCCCCAGTTTCCAGGATTGAAATCTGTGGGTGAAGTAGCCACCGGCAAGAAAATGATGTAGTGGCCTATGTAGCACCCGCTGCGGTGGTGTGAAACTGTGAGCTTGGATGTGTGCCAGTGGATTGGACCATCTCAGAGCTCGGTAGTTTATTAAGTGCTGAGGAGGAGATGGACATTTCAGCTTCTTTCAAAAATGGAAGGGGTGGCAGATGAGAAAATTTGTCAGCGAGGTGGTTGTTAATGTGGTTCATAGCATGTAGGAAACTGTTGTCAGGGTGACTTCCCATTGACTTCAGGGCCATTCTCAGTGTGTGGAGTGGCAGGGAGGCTTCCTTCCCCTCTTCCACTGCATAATTTAAATGTCTCTGTGGGGAAGGGAGCCTTGAGAGCTGTTCAGCATGGAAACACCAAAAGGTTGTTTTCTTGCCTTCAAGACCACATCTTTATGTTGTTGGCTTAGAAGGAGCTTCAGGGGTAAAAGGAAAATTGCTGACTTCAGCTCCCCAGGCTCAGCACCAATAGCTCTTGCACATGTAAATAATTGAGAATGGTGTGGCTCCCCCTGTCCCAAGGCCTTTTCAGAGGTTCTCACACAAGGAGCACTTATGTAGAACTCTGAGAAGCCTGGTGGGTAATATCAGAAAAATGGGGGCATTCTTGGGGCTCATGAGCTGATGTCTCTGATTGATTTATTCGTCCAAAGCTTTAAAGCCAGGACACTTTGGGAGGTGGAGCCCACACCTGCAAAATGTTTCACAGGGTGGCGCACATACAACAGGGACCCCATTCTTGTGATTCTGGGTCCAGAGTATTTAATGAGCTCCCCCTGGACAGAGAAGAGAAGGCCTCTTTGTGTGCAGTAATCCAGCCAGCTTCTGGCAGCAACGGCTGACTTGGTGTCTCGGGGCAGAGGAGCCCTGGGGGCCAATGGACATTCTTTATGGGAGGCAGAAATAAAACGTTATCCAACAAGCCAGGTGGCTGTGAAATCAATGGCAGGTCATCTTTTGTGAGCCTCGTTGACTTGAGAATGGTGCCTTCTCCGGGCTGCACCCGCCTTCTAGGACTGGGCCTTTTTTTAAATGAAGCGAAGGCTGTTTCCCTGGGGCCTTCTGACTTGGTTTTTTTACCTTCTTAATTTTTGACCTCTTCTTAATAAGAACTTAATTTCCGTAGTGTCTTCATATAGGCTGTTAAAAGTACTTTTGTTCACAGCCAACCCTCAATGATTCAGGACCCGGGAGGACTGACTTGCCGCCTGCTTTGTCTTGATTAGTAGACAGCAGCATTGCTTCCACCCTGGAATCTCCTTGTTGGGAGGTTTTTGTCAGATGACTTCAGTGCAGCCCTACCCAGAACTAGGGGCGTCATTAAATGGCTTTTCTGCACCCCTTTCCATTACTCAATTGTGCACCACCAGTTTCATGTTTCTTTGTGCCCATGACGCATTAAGAGAACTTTTTTCTATTTGACCACATGACCCATAGAAACCATCTTCCAACGTCACTGCCTTCTGCTCCTTTCAACCCCTCTTTGCTCTGCCAGTTGCCTCAGGTGACCTTCTCTCCAACAATGTTTGGCAGTGGTTCCATTGGCTTCACAACCAATTAGCTAAAGCTATCAATCACGCCAAAAGAACCTTACTGTGATCGTGAGGGAGCTTCTCCCCAGCCAGTACGAGCACAATCCATTCTACAGAACAGAAAAGACCACCTGGAAGTGGCTTTAACACCGCTTCTCTCTCTGTCCCTGTAGGAGTTCTGGGTCATGAACAGCTCCATCCAGAGCACAATTATCCTTCTTATTGAGCAGATTGTGGTCGCTCTGGGTGGTGAATTCAAACTCTACTTGCCCCAGCTGATTCCTCACATGCTTCGGCTCTTCATGCATGACAGCAGCCCTGGACGCACTGTCTCCATCAAGGTGAGCAGCTGGCGTCACAGAGGAGGCCCTTAGGAGCTGTGCCAAGGCACCCATCTCCTTTAAAGCCTCCAGAGGAAGCCTCTGCTGTGGGCAGAAATGGATGTTGGACTGAGAGGCTACTGGGGAAGGGGCGAGGAGCTGACCTCAAGAGTCAGGAAGACCTGGGTCAAATGCCCCGGCTACTTGACCATGGCAAGGCTCAGGGATCTCTACGGTGACCGTTGATTTGTTTTAGCAGAGGGAATTTATACACTAGGAATTTTCTGAGCTGATGAAATCACAGGGCTTTCCCCCCAAAATAAGGATTAGATTACTAGAGGCCTACGTGTGAGTGTCAAGTGAATGTCTTGAGCTGGAGTAAAGGCACAGGTGCCATGGAGCAAAAACGACGTTCCATGCTGGTCTGCTCCCTGAGACGGCCACGACTGGGGAGAGAATATCTGGGGGCAGGGAGGTCATCTGTGACCCAGGAGACCCCCCTCTCCTCCTGTTGAGCTGTCCCTTCCCTCTGCCTGGGCGGCGGGCAGTGCCATATACACATTCATCTAAGAAAACCCTGTTCCCCTGGGTTGTGGCTCATCTGCTGAGTGGGGATGCCCATCCCCGCCATCTTCCTCCATTAGCTCGGCTCCTTGAGGCTTGTTTAATGACAGTCCTTTTGTTTCCCTCTCCCAGCTGCTGAACGCAATCCAGCTGTTTGGGGCCAACCTGGATGACTACCTGCATTTGCTCTTGCCTCCGATTGTGAAGCTCTTTGATGCGCCTGATGCTCCCTTAGCAGCTCGAAAGTAAACAGCTGCCCTTTGGCTCTGACAGTGGTTTCCTCTAGGTTCTCAGGCCACCCATTTTTGTGTTATTTTAGCTCCATTCTGTAGTACCAGAATGTCCTAGGTTTATTCAAATCTGAACTCTCCCTCTCCCCCTAGACCCAGTGTTAAGTCCATTTCCCTCACGATGTCCTGGCCTGAGGAGGAAGTCTAGCCTCTCAGGCACTCCTCCTTCTGATCAATTATAGGGCAGCCTTGGAGACAGTAGATCGCTTGACTGAGTCCCTGGACTTCACTGACTACGCGTCCCGAATCATCCACCCTATCGTACGGACACTGGACCTGAGCCCAGAGCTACGCTCCACAGCCATGGACACTTTGTCTTCACTTGTCTTCCAGCTGGGGAAGAAGGTAATGCAAGGTTCCTGGGACCACAGGATTGTTGAGTTCTAAATTGAGTCTCTCTCAGCTTGGGGAGACTTTATCTTTAGCAGGGTTAGGCAAGAAAATCCCAAATTATATGATCTTTCCCCCTATCATTCAGCTTTCAAACATGAGCCAATAAAAATTGGGTTGGGTTTTTTTTTTAGCTCTTTTGTTAATATGTAGGATTTTCCCCCTGAGTCCTGCAGATGTGACTAATAGATCAACCAACAATTATGATTTAGTTGTGTTTTCTGAATTTTTCTCCCTCCTGTTGTAGTACCAGATTTTTATCCCAATGGTAAATAAAGTCCTGGTGAGACACAGAATTAACCATCAACGCTACGACATGCTCATCTGTAGGATTGTCAAGGTGAGCTCATCTGCATCTTTGTTTCTAATCCCCAAGATCTTTCCCTCTTAGGCATTTTTTTTAGGGTCTTGGCTGATGGTACTAAATATATCTAACTTAGCTTGCTCTGTCTCTCTTATCCCTTCATCATTTTCCAGTTTTTGATTCATCTCCCCTCAATATCTCCCTCCTGTCTCGATTGGCATGGGTAGCTGGCGAGTGCCTTTTCCCTTGGGAATTATTTTGGATATATTTCATATTTATTTATCTATATGCATCTTATTCCATGTATCCCTCCACCCCATGGAATATAAGCCCTGCAAGGGCAGGGACATTTTCCTTTTTGTTTTTGTATTCCCACTGCCTAAAGGTACCCAATAACCACTTGTCCAGTGAATGAATGAATACTACCCATGGGTGGCTCTGTGCAGAATTCTAGCTTTCTACTGTCCACTGGATTAGCCTGTTGTAAACAGTGAACAGAATTTTCCAGAGTGGGGAAGGACGTGGAAGCAACCCATCTGAGTTAAAGGATTGCTGATGTTCTAGGAAAGTCTAGCAACATCCCCAGCCATCTGTCTCCATCTCTGGTTACAGGGGTACACGCTAGCTGATGAGGAAGAAGATCCTTTAATCTATCAGCATCGAATGATGAGGAGCAGCCAGGGTGATGCCTTAGCCAGTGGACCAGTGGAGACTGGGCCCATGAAGAAGCTGCATGTTAGCACCATCAACTTGCAGAAGGTGGGTACATGGACAGTTTCAGGGAGCCAGGAGATGGGACAGGGAGGCCTGGTGCTGTCTGGCACTAGTAGTGCTGGAAACTGCCTTGGGGGCACATCTGGGGAATTAAAGTCTGGATAGTAGAAGTACCAGTCTGGCACTTTTCCCGAGTTGGAACTGTAAGCCTTTTCATTTTAAAGGGGGAAAAATTGGGAAGTGTGGAAAGACCTGAGTTTGAATAACATGCCTGCCACCAGAGCTGTGACAAGGGAGCGCTTTGTGGCAAATGCCAACAAATAGAATCCAAAGTTGGCCCGGCCCTCAAGTCAGGGCCAGAACCATGGACTGCTCTTGAGAGCTTTGTGGATAGAGGATTGAGAGCCTGAGAGGACCTCAGAGGTCATCTAGCCCAGATTTACAGAAGAGGAAACCGAGGCTGAGAACGTGAAAAAGACTTGTCAAGATCTCCTGGCTCGCTCATTTTAGAGCTGGGCCTGTACCCTGCTCAGCTGACTCTCAGACTGTTGTTCTTTTCTTTGTAGCATATTTCTTTACCTGTGCTTATAGGTGATTTCAAAGGAAGAGTCTCTGTTGAACCCAAATGTAATACCGTGTTTGTGTGACCTTTGAAGTGAATGACCAAGTTGTTCATCTCAGCACTTTACATTAGTCACTGGCACTTTCACTGATGGTGGTTCCACCCCCACCCCCCCACATTGTGACTCTTCTTTCATCCACCCATGCCACCTGTGTGGTGGCAGGTCTAATCAGCAAGCTGGGGCAAGGTTACCCATGCCAGTAGTGCTGGCTTCTCTACTTTGGCCCAAATGGCCATGCTCAGCTTCAGGGTCACATGTGTCTCTTCCTTGCCCATTTCTCCCAGACTTAACATGACTTAATATAGAAGATGTAAAGGAGACCTTGGGCAAAAGGTTTTCTCAAGTGGTTTCCCATCCTGCTAAGCTGAGAGTTCTGGAGGGGGTGTAAGCGACCAACCCCACCCGGTACATACCCTGATGGAATAGAGCAGAGCTGAGCTTCCCACAGTAGGTATCTAGACATGGGCGTAGGCTGGAGATGTTCTTCCAGCCCAGGGCATTTACCTCCTTCCATCCAAGCGATTGGCTGCCCCACTTCAGAGCTGGCTCAGGGCCCCCTTTGGCTGCTGGGCAGTGGTCCTGTCACCCAGTTTACTGGACCCTGGTGTCTCCTATTCGTTGTCCTATGTGGAGGGATTTAAAAGTAACTGGCCCCTTGGTCCAAGGATAAAGACTGTTGGGTCAGTTGTACACACACACACACACACACACACACACACACACACACACACTCACACACACACACACACACACACACACACACACACACACACACACCCACCCACATAGGCTTATGATGAAAAATGCTATTATCTACCTTCAGAAAGAGAACTGATGAACTCTGAGTACGTATCAAAGCAGAGTGTTTTTCACTTTCTTTATTTTTCTTGCTTTTTTCCCCCCACAACATGGCTAATGTGGAAATACATTTTGCATGACTTCATATGTATAATGAGTATTATATTTCTTGCCTTCTCAATAGGTGGGGGACAGGTGGAGGAAGGGAAAGAATTTGAAACTGAAAATAAAAGTTAAAAATTTTTTTTTAAAAATAAAATCCAACCCCCCACCTCCACCCCCCACCTTCACCCCCAAAAAAGTGGTGAGAGTTGCGTAAACAATAAGAGGGATCTCTGCTTGGTAGGTGGGGCCCAGGTCACTCCTGTAGCTTCCTTTCACTAAGCAGGGAATCTGACTGTCTGAGGACGATTGCAGCTGGGGACCAGGATCCCAGCAGCTTTTTGGCTTCTGCCTGTGCCAGCCCAACCCTATGAGCTGTGCTCATTGCCTGGTGATTTCCCAGTGATAAATCAAATCAACCTGGATCTTTCAGATGAGCCTCTGCAGAAAACTCGGCATTCTCTTTGGAGGATCCTTGTTTGGGGCTTCTCTGTCCACCAGTCAGAGTCTGCTGACTTTCATGACTTTTCATATAGCACAATCTTTTAGAATTAACTTTTACTATATTTTGGTGTATTCCAGTCAATTGCTGCCTCTCTTGAATTTTAATTAGTGCTATTTTGAGTTGTGTCCAGAAACTGTTTAATTGTAAAAGGTGTAGCTTTCCAAATCTAGGGGGAAAATTGCTATGAAATTAGTGAGTGCATGTTTGATATTAATGACTTTCTGCCACTGACTGACATTTTAGGCCTGGGGAGCAGCGAGGAGGGTTTCCAAGGATGATTGGCTGGAGTGGCTCAGACGGCTAAGCTTGGAATTGCTGAAGGACTCCTCGTCTCCATCCCTTCGCTCCTGCTGGGCCCTGGCTCAGGCCTACAACCCTATGGCGAGGTAAGGCCGGCATGGAAGGGAGACTTCCCTGCCTCGATGGGGGTTCAGGACAAAGTGGAAGAGGCTTCTGAAGCCTTTGCCATCAGGAAACAGGCTCTCTTTGGACTCAGCGCTTGTACGTGAATGCCAGGGGGCTTATGGTCAGCTTTCTTCACTGAGAAAATAAGTCAGTGGTTAAGAAGAGGAGCATTTCTGAATTTTTCCACCTGGGGCAAGTACAGAGGAGGCAAACTGATTCCCGCAAGGATGGGAAAACCCGAGTCTTATTCCTCCCATTGGGCAGCAGTTAAAACCGTCCCATGTAGCCCAGGGCCTGGAGCAGCAGCGTCGCAGCCCCGACTGAACGGGGCCAGGACTGCCTGCTTCTCAGCGGCTGCTGTCCCTGCTGTCTCTTCAGAGATGTGGCTGACCACATCCCCAGGGGGTTGGGGCAGATTCTCCGCTACTGAACGTTGACTGTTTCTGAGGCTTAAAGAAAATTGCTGAGGATTCTCTGGGCCTATTGTGCAGGCTTTTCAGACTCAGCTTGTGCATCGTACTGCTTTGCCGTCCCCACTGTCTTCTGAGCACGTCTGACCTCGCTCCCACTCCAGACCTTTGATTCAGGAAAGCTGATTTCCCTCGATTGGTTCTCCCTCAGTCTCCTGACTTCATTCTTCAGATGAATGTTTTCGTTTGATTCCCCTACCACCCCCATCCCTGGCAGGCTTTTTGCAGAACTCAAAATTATTTTGAGTCACAGAGTCCTTCAGTTACTCAGACTGGCCCTCTTTGATCTCTTACTGGTCGCCAGGAAGGGATATAGGTTATCACAGTGGCTGCGGAAAAAGGCCTAAGGCTTTGGAAGTACTTCCTGAACACCACCCCCTTCCCCCAGTCTGATAGGATTAAAGGATAGCAGGAGGAAGCAGGAACTCAGGGCCATCCTGGGGATGTGGAATCAATTTTAAATAGTTCAGTCTCTGAGATGAAGTCTCATCGTTGCTAAGGCCTCCTAAGGAGCTGCCTGTCATTGGAGAGAGGCTCGGTAATCCTCTTGGATCCTGTGGGTTTGGATTTTGATTCTAATACCTTAGGTTTCTTGGTTCTGGCTGTAACTTTGCTTGGAACCATCCAAGAGTTCTGCCTGTTTTTTAAAATAGCAGCAGATGCTATGTCTCATTTCCTGATCCCCAGGATTTGGGAAGTGACCGCCTAACACTGAGGTCCCTCCAGGCCCTTGAGGATTGTGTGCATTTCCTTTGAAGGCCACAACCTATACACTAAAAGCTATTTTCTCCCCTCTCTTCATTGATTCAACATGATGATAATCAAGACATGTCTCTGAAGAAGAGAGATAGTCCTCATCCATTCACCATGCACGTGCATCACCCTTATATGCAGCCTGTCACATTGCCTGTGCTACCTGCCATCGGGGATGCAAAGGGCAGATAAACCTGCAACACATTTTTCTGATGCCCTTTTCTCTCCCCGCAGGGACCTTTTTAATGCAGCGTTTGTGTCTTGTTGGTCTGAGCTGAACGAAGACCAGCAGGATGAGCTGATCAGAAGCATTGAGCTGGCCTTGACATCCCAGGACATTGCTGAAGTCACACAAACCCTCCTCAACTTGGCAGAATTCATGGAGCACAGTGACAAGGTGAGCCCATCCTTTCCCATTGTGCACATTGAGTGTGGCAAGGAGCCAGATGGGGGAAGGCCCCCCAGTTAGTCCTCGGCCTCATCTGCCCCCTTTCTGATGCTGTGGGATCTCATCCTCCTTCCAGGGTCCGCTGCCACTCCGAGATGACAATGGCATCGTCCTCCTAGGTGAGCGAGCGGCCAAGTGCCGTGCATATGCCAAGGCACTGCACTACAAGGAGCTGGAGTTCCAGAAGGGCCCCAGCCCTGCCATCCTCGAGTCTCTGATCAGGTAGGCCGCTAACATGCCCTTCTGGATTTCTGTCTCCTCTTCCCACATCGCCCCAATGCCAGTTCATTTGAGTGATTTCAGGGCTTCTTACACACTGCAGGGTCCAATGAACACATTTGTGCCCATTGAAGCTGCAGATGGCACTCACCAATATTCCCACAAATTTGCAATTTGGGGCCCACTCAGCACCTGGGCTCCCATTGTTTTTCGGTGCGTGTTGTTGCTGCCTCTGATGAAATATGTCTGGAAGCAATTACAAGGCCATCTCAGAAAGAATGGACAAGAGGGACTTCATGTGTTGCTGGTTGGATGAGGATCTATAGGGCATTGAAATTGTTCCGGGGCCCTGAAGGCAAAACCAAGAGCAGACACTCCAGCTCAGTGCAGAAAGCTGCTGTGATAACGTGCCCTCTTGTCCAATGTGTTCCTTGCAGGATTGGCTTCTGTTTGCATTTTTTAGGTTCAACTCTGTTAGTTCCTCAGTCTTGTGCCATCTGAGTTCTGAATTGTGAGAATATAACAGTTATGGCCCTGGTGTGGCTTTCACCTCCTCCCATAAGATGCTGCCAAGGTGGCATAAATGCCTTGTTGCTGTGAGACTGAGAACTGTTCTCTACCTCTGAGCATTACCAGAGGATATTCATCTTTATTTGAATGCTAATGTTCATCATTTCACTACAAATAGTTTGAGTGGAAAGGAAACAATGCCCAGCTAATGATAACTTTCTCCAGCATGGTGGGAGGGCCTGTTGTGCCAGGCTGTGCTGTGCTGTGACCTTCCCTTCACTTGAGATGCTCTCTGGGTGGCTGAATACTCTCCTGTTGGTTATGTTTTTTGTTTTAGAGAGTGGACCTCTAAGAGGGGGACAGGATGGAGGGTAAGGGAGAATAGGAATGGAGTCTGCTTTCTGCAGTGCGGCCTCAGGAGCAGGTTTTCAAAAAGAGTTGTCATCTATGAGATGATACTTCCTTGTTTCGAGGTAATAGGTAGAAGGAATGAGAAACATGCCACTGTTTCTCCATCCTCTGCCTAAGCAGCTGGGATTTGTTCTGCCATGCTCACTGTGGTAGGAGCTGGACAGAATCAGTGGCCACATACACAAATTAGACTAGCTTAGAGCAATTTCCATGTCTCCATCACTGCCGCTCTCCTCCCTCCACCCTCCTCATCTGCCTGGCATCTTTCAGTCGCTTTTATCTTCCTTTCAGAAAATCACAGAAACTTTTTTTGTTGTTTTTTGTGTTTTGTTTTTGTTTTGTTTTGGAGGTAGTGGGAGTTAAGTGACTTGCCCAGGATCACACAGCTCATAAGTGTCTGAGGCCGCATTTGAACTCAGATCCTCCTGACTCCAGGGCCAGTGCTCTATCCAACTTTGCCACGTAGCTGTCCCCCAACACAGAGACATTGTTGGTAGAGACACAGGCTTCCAATAGGAAAGGGTGGTCTGAGCACTAGAGAGAAAACTTCAGGGGGTCATCGGGACCTTCCCTCGCTTCTCAGGCCAAGTATGGTAGAAAGCAAATTCTCATGTTTTCAGACACAATTCCTTGCAGACCAGTCTTGACCCTTCCTTAACTTCTTGCTGTGATTCTCTTGTCTGATGGGAGCTCGCCTTCTCTTTGTCCTGCCTTAAACTAGTCTCCTGCTGTCTTCCAGGTTCTCTCTCTCCAGCCACTGTAGCAGATCTCCCTGGTGATTTTTTTGTGTTAGTCACACTGACCTGGCAGCATTCTTTTCCATTATAGTTAGCAACATGACCAGGACAAGCTAAATTTGAAATGTAGCCCTTAGGTTGGAGCTAACGCTGCACTTGTGGGGGCTCGGGACAAAGAAATGTAAGCCATTCAAAGTCATGTGGACCAGGGTAACAGCACTTCAGCGGAAATTCAATTAATTTTCCTTTGATAAACATTTGCTAAGCACCTTTTACATGCAAAGTGGAGGAAAGCAGCTGTGTGGAACATGAGCTTCTCGACACCAGGGGCTGCTGTTGTGTCTCCTCTTTGTATCCCCAGCACCTCGTCCAATGCTCAGCACATAGTTGGTGCTTCATAAATGTGGGAAGTGAACCAAACATTGGCCAAATGAAAAAGAGACTCCAAACAATGCAGTGGTTTGTTTAATTCCAATAGGATCTGGTGGCCCTGCCTTTTATTTTTGTACAGGATCTGTTTCCACGCTGGAGGGTCACACTGTGCCCTACCACCTGGAGTACCTGACATGTTATTCTCGCTTTAAACTCTTCTGATTGAAGTATCAGTTAAACACCCAGACAGGAAGCCGGCCTCTGAAGCCAGCAACCCAAGGCTAGGAAGGGGTGTGCGGATGGGGAAATTGCCTCTCTTCTCAGGAGAGGTCACCTTTTCAATCCTGCTCTGTCTGGAAATACATGGCGGTGGGGGGGCGGGGGGTTGCATACACTCCCTTCTCACGAATTTTTAAGGGAAGAATTGGTTGGTCAGATGTGGTGGTACACGCCTGTAATCACAGCTGCCAGGGAGGTGGAGGCTGATGGATGACGAGCACAGGGATTCTGAGCTGCAGTGGGGCTACCACCAGTCAGGTGTCTGTACTAACTTTGGCACCACATGGTAGTACACCCCCTGGGAGCAGAGGGACCACCAGGGTACCTAAGGAGGGGCAAGTCAGCACAAGTCAGAAACCACCCCTTCAGGGTTGCTGCTGCCCTCCCAGCAGCGGTGAGATAGAGAAGTCTCAGTCTTGAAAAATAGAAAAGAAACAGTTGGTCAGATGAAAATGTTATTTACCTTTGGAACAGGCTCCAGGTGACCTTCTTGGTTCTGCTATTCCTAAAGGCTAATCGATTGGGAACATTTTTCCCATTTTCCAACAAAGTGCTTTCTCGTCCCCTCCCTCCCAATTGAAGTCCCGTCCCCCGTCGTCCTGTTCCCCCCCCTTTTCCCCCAATAATGAAGGAAACTACACAGGTCAACATTCCTGCTCTGGTCCTGGAGGCATGCTGAGGAGAAGGAAGAAGAGAGTTGTGTCCACTATTTATCCAGGGATCCTAAACAGCGGAGTTCATTCTTTCTCTCCTCTTTTCTTTCCAGTCTTTTTTCTCCTCTTGTCCCCTAATGTTGGTCTGCTTGTTGAGCCTCTGAAATTTTCAGCAGAGTTGTACAGAGCCCAGTGATTATTTGGAAGTTTTCTTTTAGAGTGTCTCCTCCCCGGGAGGCCCAGGAGCTCTCCTTTTATACGATTCCTCTTTGCTCTCTTTATTTGTCTCAACTCCTAGCAACCCACTGTTATCTCTGGCTTAAATTCCCTGGCTTTGTAATCATAGGACCAGAGGTGGTTCCCTGTGGTTTCTAAAGGACAGTATGTTACAGGCCTGTAAATACAGCCAATATTAAGGGAGCAGAGGAACTCTTGAGGCTGGTTTGTTGGGAGCAGGGCTGACCAGGTTTAAGGAGGAAGGAAGATAGACTTCTCAAAGAGGCTGCTCTGTAGGACAGATACAGCCTTCTCGCTCTGGACAGTTTTGAGAGAAAGAAACCCCCTCCATGCCTTAACTTCCTCATGTGTTCAGTAAAGGTGTTTGTTTGCAAAGTATTTTGAGAAAAGGTGATGAAAGATGTAAGGAATTTTGACAGTACACCAGCAGCAGGTATCGAAACACAGTATCCGGGGTACCGATAACTGGTCTTTGGTCAGCATCTGCTGCCCACAGGCACAGAAGCACACTGGTGCTTTCATTGTTACCTCTGGTATTATCTCTGCTCTCTCCCTGCTTGAGTACTAGATAGTACTTAAAGGTTCTTCCCCTTCATTCTAGTAGGGACAGTGATTAGAGCTCTGGGCTTGGTGTCAGAGAGGCCTAAGTTCAGTCCTGACCCCGACTTTTACTGTGTGATCCCAGGTGAGGGACATCACCTCCCTCAACTGTAAAATAGAGATAATAGCACCTTCCTCCCAGGGTCATTGTGAAGGGCAAAAATCAAATGAGAGAATATTTGTAAAATGCTGTACAGACTTTAGAACCCCCTATCGTGCTAGTTGTTGTTGAAGCCTCCCAGGTTTTCCTGAAGGCTCTATGTCATGCTGTATCATAAATGCACTGAACAGATAAAGATTAGAAATGTAAAGGAACCATGGGTTTTAAAATTTATTGCAGAGACAGAAAAATGTTGGAACACGTAAAACACAGAACAAAGTTTTTATGAAGTCAGATGCCTATGTGCAGTATGAGCCCTGATGCCACCCTTTTCTTTCCTTCAGCTACTCTGATTAGAGTTAAGCCTCCAAATGATCCCTTTTCTTACAAAATGAACAAAAATAGATATATTAACTATGAACATTTTTAGGCAGTGAGTCTGTTTTCTGAAGGAATCTTGAATTCATTTTTTAGATCCCCACCTACCTAAGATAATAAAATCTACTGCTATTTCAACCTGCTTAGCAGTGTTTGCAAGCCAGTAACATTTAAATTAAAAACAAAGACTGCATCCAAGAACCAGACTTATTATGTACAAATGACTTAAGTACAGTGAATTGACTTAAGCTTTCTCTCTCTGCTATCAAAGTTCCATAATTATTCTTGGCTTGTAACCATGGTGGTTATTTTTGATAGTATTGTTCTTTGCTCCACTGCAGTGTGAAGTCCTAAATCAAAGCAATATCTTCCTCCGTGTGTGTGTGTGTGTGTGTGTGTGTGTGTGTGTTTGTGTGTGTTTGAGCACACGTGCATTAGATGCTTTTTAAATGACAGTTTTGAAATAAGGATGGGATAGAAAAATTGGCATTATGGAACATTTAACTGTTTGGGATTCTAGTATTTTAAGTTACTAAAAAAAAAACAAAACAGTCTGCTAGTAATTTTAAAATTCTCTGACTATAATTCCTGCTATGTGGTTCTAAAGAAGAGAATGAATCTCAGTATTAATTTTCTGGGCTCAAATTGCTCTGTTTTCCATTGGACTGTGGTGAAATTCCTTGCCAGCAGCCTGTGTACCTAGCAGTCCCCTCATTCCCACTTAGTCTTGTGAGAGCTTCTAAGAGTGACCTATGCCTCCTCCTTTCTGACTCCTACCTGAAATCACTCCATGTACCTCATTCCTTTATGTACTATACCATGATTGAGGGCAAGGAGGTGAGATGCTGAGACTCTGATTGCAAGGCCCAATGCCCTGGAGTTTCCTCTGAGCAGCTGAGACATGGGCTAGCTCACCTTCAACAGAGCAATTACTCTGTTAAAGAATCTTGAGACTGAAAGCAATTTCATTGGGTTTTGAAATAGAAACTCTTTGCTACCCTCGCCCTTTCCTCCAACCTTCAGTATCTCTCCTGTGGTTTGAAATAATACAGTTCATTTTACCAAGAGATTTGTTTTCTGTCTTCACTTTAATCCTGGCCCTGGAGAAAGTGTAAGGCATAAACTCCTGATTACTTTCTCCTGAAACAAGAATCATGTGGGAAGAGACCAAGCACAGGAGACCTTTGGAGCTGCTGCTGTGTCAGAAGGCACAGGTACTTAGGGCCAGTTCTGACCCACCGAGAAGAATGCCCTCAGAGTTGTAAATGTCTCTCCCTATTTGCTGTCCCTTCTGCTGGTACTGATTGTGTAACGCTGGTGCTTGGTCGAGCCCGACAAACGTTTGTACTTTTCTCGATGAGATGAGTGACTTCATTGGTGCTTGATTACAGGTGATTTCCAATCCCTCCCCCTACCACACTATCTCATTGCCCACCCCCAGACTTATTTGCCTCCTAGGATTCGGCACCCCTCTCGTAGGTCAAGCTGCTTTTTAGGGTTCAAAGTCTTCAGCGCGGATCTTCATCTCTACCTTCCTGAGGGAGTAGCTAGAGCCATGCCAGCCATACCAGGTGATACCATCCATGTGTTTGTTGTGCTCACCATGGCGATAATAAATCCCATTAAGGTTGGAGTCTGTGCAGCAATTATACCAGTATCCACCTGTCAGAAGAAGCAGATCAATTCTAATAAAATTCATATCCCTTATTAAATATGTGCCTGTGGGCACCCAAGTCACCTCTTTCTCTCTCTGTGGGCCCATAACAAAAACACTAAATCCAGATGTCAGTGACATATTCCACTCTGCCCAGCTAGCATCACCTGCAGTCAGGATTCCTGCCCTTCCTTCCCTCCCACCTCACCTTTTCTGAGTTGAACACAATTGTCCAAGCACTTGTCATTGTCCTTGTCCTTGGTGCTGAAGGCTGTGTTGTTGTGATAGAGGAGTGCATCACGTCCTGCATTACCACTGTAGTTCCCCACAAAGATTCGATAACTGTTCAGCTCATTACTTAAGGTAAAGTGACTGTACTCAGCAAAGCGTATGTCACCCTCCCAGTCCTGGTGGAGAGAGGAAGGAGTCCTATTTAGGAAGCTTACCAGATGGCCCTTGTCTAAGAAGTCCTAGCGTTGTGTCTTTTTTCTTAGGCTTGTATCTTTTCTGGAAGAGAATCTATGAAGACTTGGTTATCTCTGCTCCTTCCTTAACTGGAAGTCAGGAAAGCTCGGTTTTAGACCCAGCTTTATTGCTAGATTCAGCATATAACCTTGAGCTAGCCTCTGTTCTCTGTTCTTCGTTGTAGCTCATAATCTGTTGTTGCTGTCTCCTACTCAGAGATGTCGTAAGGATGAATGTAAAAAGTAGTAAATCACCATCTTGGAGGACCTTGGGGAGCAGAACTACAGCTCTACATAAATGATTTTGTCCTAAAGGGAGCAGTTACCTTGACCAGAATAAACTTCTAGAAGATAGGCAGAGCCCCGCCCCAGCCACCAGAGGCAGGCTGTGCCCTGCCCTCGTACTGGATCCCTGCTCCTCATCGAGCTTGTTCTGGTACTTACTTCCATCTCAATCCGCAGAGTGGTTGGGCGCCTGGACAGCCGGTAGATGTTTTCATTCCCAAGCCAGAAATCCCCACGGATGTTGCCAAAGCCCACTTTGTATTGCTTCCAGTCACGGTGGAAAGAGACGAGACCACTCTTCCGCCTCTGGATTATGGTCCAGCCACCACCTGCAGTTGTCATATCGCAGAATACCTGCCGAGGACAGGGTGGCACAGATTTAGATTGGTTGTCTAGCTGCTGTGCACAAAAATATGAGTAATTCGTGTTGGAAGCTTTGCTAAAGATGCCTAGGTCTTTCAGAATGCCCCCTTGACTTGGCTTGGACAAGAAATCACATTTGGGGGGCAACTACAGAAGCTTATATTGGCTCGATTTTATATAATTGGTGTTCTTCCTGTTGCATGTCTTCCATTTCCCTCTCTAAGGCTGTGAATGACTCCAGTCTCCATCTCTGTTGAGTTGGGAACTAAGGAGGAAGGAAAATATCAGTAAGGTGCTTCCAGAGGCCTCACCTCAAGCTCAGGGCTTCCCAGGAACTCATCAGCGGGAAGCTTATACACACCGGAAATGCGGTAATTCTTCTGGTAGAGTGAGGAACAGTCATAGACAGCATCTGTTTGAGAGTGGAGAAGGAATCAGTGGGGTGAGCATCTCAACACAGGGTGCTAACCTAGTGTGGGACTCAGTTTAAAACAAAGGAATTCACAGCATTAATTAGGTGAAAAGTTTTTCAGTTGATTTAAGAAATCAACTTAGGTCTGGTGTTGGTGATAAGACAGCTTAGCAAAGTGGACAGAGAGCTGGCCCTGGAGTCTTGAAGACCTGACATTACATTCCCCTTGGACGTACCCCGGTTGTGTGAGTGTGGGTAACAGTCACTTTCTCCCCCATAAGTGTTCTAGGCAACTAATTCTCTAAGTTGCCTTGAAGGGTCTGACCTGCTTTGATAGAGAGAGCTTCCTAATTGCGAGTTCCCTGTGTTAATGAAATAAGGAGGTCCAGTTCCTACCTCTGTCCTGATATTGGGGGTTGATATACAAGGGATTTCCCCCTGGCGGCATTACCAGTAGACCTAAACAAGTGATTTAAAACCTTCAGAAATACATGACTGGCTGTTGAAATAGAGCAGGGTCACAAATGCAGCTGTTTAATTCCAGGTTCTCCCACTCACCAGGGCCTAGCACAGAGCCAGGAAGCTCCATTTCTCCTGCAGGCAGCTGATTTGCAGCTGTGCATGCTCTGTAGATTGCTTCTAGCTGGGGCCAAAGCAGACAGATTTCTTTATTTTATTTGAGGTTTCCTTTTTCTTTTTTCTTTAATGTGTTTGGATTAGAAGTGTATCTTTTAAGTGCTCACAGCAACTTTAAAATGCCAAACCTCTCCCATCAGATTTTCAAGTGTTCGGAAAAACCTCAAAGTAGAAAATTTCTCCCAAGTGAATTCAGTATCAAATTAAATGGAGCAGCACCAAGACGCATCTCTCGTTTATAAAACAGGGTGCATCCTTGACTAGGTAAGAGGAAAAGAGGTCTCCATGGCTTGGACCAGCCTGTGTTTTCAAGGAGGGCCTGTGTCCTACATCATCTGCCCTCTCTGTAGAAGGTTAACTGCTAATGCAAACTAAGTCCATAATTACAGGAGATGGATTTCACGCTCTTTTAAAATCTAATCTCTCAGCCACTTAATACCCTAATTTCTCTCGCATCTTTAATAATGCCAGGCTCTTCGCCCTCAGTGAAAACACCTTCAGGTTAACCATTTGAGATCTACTCTGGCAGTATTATTAATAACATGAAGACCGCAGTACATTGTCTAGATTGACCTCCTCTGGTCTTGATGAAAGTGATTTTTGACTGTCCTTGAAGGTGCTACTCACTGTGATACATTTAGTCTTGTATCACTGACCCTCCTCCCACCCCGCTTTCTGTATTGGCAAGAGCTGAGAGCATTGTGGGAAGGGCAGTGGTCCCTGGGAAGAACCTGGAGGACGAAAGTGGCACACAGAGAAAGAATCCCATGGGCCCTTTTGATGCAGTAGGCATCATTCTGTCGACTCCTTCACAGGACCCAAATAGAGAAGTATGGAGGCATTTAGGAGGGCAGATAATAATGTGTGTATGTACAGTGCTTCATATTTTGCAAAGTATTTTTACATAAATAATCTCAGTCTGCTTGGCATCCTTGCATAACAAATGGGTATGTTATCCAAGAAGGTGGCTATCTGCATGGATCCCTTCACTAGCCCAGGAATTGGTAATGATGGAATAAAATAAGAAATCTTCTAAGGACAGGAAACCTGGTAGAAGAGTGAGTGAAATGGATTCCCAAGGAGAGGTGCATTCCAGATCTTTCCCTTGGATGGCAAGCTGTCCCTTTTAGTGTTTCTCTAACTCTCATAAGAAGAACTAGCCTAATAGGAGTCTTACATGTTTGTCAGGGTTTCCCAGCCCCTTCCCCCAAGGGGGATTATTTTCCCACTGTACCTGGGGCGGGGTCCCCATCCCCTAAGGCTTTGTCAGTCAGTCAAGAAGTATCATGCCAGGCACAGTACTAAGTGCTGCAGATATAGAAAAAGGCAAAAATGTAGGCCCTGCCCTTGAGGAGCTCACAATTCGGAGAAACACTAGGTCCAAACGAGAGAGACAGTAGAGAGAAGGGAATCTCAGAAGGGATGGCACTGGAGGAAAAAGGTCCCCTGCTGTTGGTGGGATTCTTCTCAGTGATTCCAGAGTAGATGCGATTGGCGTGGAGCCTCCTCAGGGGAGCTTATTTTTCTGGGAGATAACAGCTCGCAGAGTGAGTTGTAAGGGACTAGAGGAGAGGAAGAGCTGATGAAAGTGATATTGTCAGATTCCACTACTAACCTGATTTCATTTTGCAGGAAGCATTAGTACTTTTCTATAAAATGGGCTGAAGATGCATAGATAACCCCAGAGATGGGTTCAGGAGGCAAGTGCTTGGAAAAACCTTTTTGCACATTGGCCTGTTTTTATAAGTTTCCAAAATTCTTTCATGTTAATATTTTTTGTGAGCCAAATTGAAACCAGTGACCTGCTAATTAGAACTAGTCTATGTCAAAAGGTTAAGTGTTTCTTTGCCCTTTGATCTATAATGAACATAATTCCCTTGTCATGGGGAAAGATAGGACACCCACAGAACCGTTGTCAACTTGCAAATAAGTGTCTACTATAACAACTCTTTCTGGTTCTAACAAATACCTTTGAACATCAGTTAGACTGAGCCAAACAGAAACTGCAAATCATTTTGTTTAATCGTTTAAAAACAAGCCATGCTACTGAAGTCCTATTCCACTTCTCTGTGGCATGGAAGTAACTCTTATTTCTCAAAGACATTTCCAGCAGAGTTCAAGTTTTGGCAGGAACTAAGCTGGAAGGAGTTTGCATAAGATTCCAGAGATGAAGTGTGGGTCTGTCTCCCAAGGATCAGCGTAGCTAAAATTGGAGGCTAATCACCAGGGCAGTGGGATCATGGATTATTTCCAATGCAGCAATTCACAAAGACCATCTCACAGGTTATAGAGAATGCAAACTTCACTGGGGTGTGGAGATGGAGGGGTGCCTCCCCCAACAAAATCAGACCCACAGGAACCCCTCTGACCCTATGCCCATTTTCTTTGTTTTTGTTTTGAATGCCCACAAACAAAGAAGAGACAGCAATAGGAGATAAGGGAAACTTTTTGGTACCAGTACATTCTGAATTCAAAAAGCTAACGCAGAAAAGCTTTGGCTCTATTCCCTTGGCTTTGTGCCAGTCAGAGTAGACAGAAAAAGAGAAGGTCATGGGTCTCCACTGGCAGGTAGAAGGTTTGGCTAATTACTTCATGTGTGAGGAAGGGGCATTGGGCAGGGAGACCTGTGTTCTGTTGCTGACTTGACTGTGTAACTTAGGACGTATCACTTCAGTTCTCAGTACAGAGAAAGTCATGTTTGAACCTTCCTGTCTCCCAGCAATGTGAGGACCCGAGAGGACTGTGAAGGTATTGGCAATCTTTTACAGGAAATAGAAATGCAAGAGAATTAAGCTGACCCCTTTATAAAGAGGGGTGGGGAGTGCATGACCCCCAAAGAATGAAGAACTCTAACTACTCAGGGAATCTCGGGTTACTTGTGTGGGGACAGCAAGGGGTGCCGTGGCTAATTGAAGGACAAACGAGGACCAGATGAGGGGAAGCTTTCTCCTTACCTGCTGAGGTCTGCGTGACCGTCTGGGCTGCCTGAAGCTGCATCATGTCAATCTGGTTATTCAGCTGGGAGAACTTGTTCTCGGCTTCGGTGAGGCGAGTGGCCATCTGCTTGGTGTGGCTCTCCAGCTCCATCACCTGCATGACCACGTTGACCCAGTCGCTCTCCTGCTTTTTGCTCAGCACCCCCAGCAGGCTGGTCAGATTGGCGATCTGGGCCTTGAGCTCCCTGGCCTCCTCGCAGCAGGCAGCAGCCTTGAGCTGGCCAGGTGTCTTACGCTTTGGGGGCTTTTCTAGCCAGGCAGGCTGACTGGCGAAGCCTAGGGTTAAGACAAGGAGCCAGGCCAGAGAGCGGAGCGTCATGTTGGGCATGTGGTCTGTGTGGATGGGGGGCTCTTGAAGCCAACTGTTGAAGACTGCTAAGAACTCTAGCAAATTGGAGCCTTCAGTTTGCTCTCAGGCTTTCTTTTTTCCACTGCCCTCTTTATTGTGCAGTGATCTTTCTTTTCCCTTCAAGGCCCTTTTCCCCCCCAAAGCTTGAGTTCCTGAGGGATATTCCTTAACCCTCCTTCTAAAGCCTTCATTCCCTACAGAGCCAGCATCTTAAATATATTTGCTTTCCATACCCCCGCCCCCACTGTGGCCCTGGTGCTAGCCCCTCCCACCCCATCTGGGAGGATCAGGTGCCTATTGGGTAGAGTCCTGTAGACTTGGGCCAGAGGAGGGGGGAGGAAGGACAGAGGCAGAGAAGGCATGAGTCTGTTCCCGTGCAGGAGCAGTCTCTGGGCTGAGAGGGGACTGGAAACTAGTGAGTTTCCAGCTAGCTTAGCCTGTTGGATTGTGACCCTGCCAGGCCTGGCTGGTCTGTATTAGGGAACAGCCTGGGGTCAGAAGAGGGTCCAGATCCAGCTCTAAGAATTACATAAGGTGAGGGCAGAAGGGATCCAACTGGAAATGAGAATCGCTTTTCACGCTGGGGGTCCTGTGAATGTAATTCATGCTGTGTTCACCAGAATCAGTTCTCTTGTACGTGTTACATTTTGGCAGAGCACTGAATGCCTTTTTAACTAGATTAATTATTCCTTTGTTTGATGATCACTCCTTATGCAGCAGAATACCTGCTCTACCTAGATCTTAACACTGTCTTATACCTGCTTAAATATTTCTCGGCTGCCTTTCCCTGTAACTTTTCTTGAAGTCTGAACTGGGAATCTTTCTGGTGACTTAGAAGAATCTCAAAAACAAGGACTAGAGATGAGTCTTTGAAAAGAAAAGTTGTAATCTGTCCCATAAGACCTGGCCTCTTGATATAATTTCTCTCCTTTTATGCTCACTGTCTCCTTGGGAAATAGGGTTTGATTAGCTTTCCAAGACTTTGTCCTCTTGTATGAATTTACATACAAAACTGGAGTGTGTGTGAATAGGAATCATGATGTCTTAGTGCAGAAGAGAAATAGAGACTGTGAATCCCTGGGGTAGGAGTCATGTTTCAGGCCCACTCTTTGAGATCAGTGTAGCCAGCAGCAGCCTGATACTTAAATGGTGAAGGTCATCAGCTTCAAAAAAACATACTGCTGATTCTGCTGCTTGTTAACGTTCTCCTCCTCTTCAAGCCATCCAGTATTGGCTTCTCTGTTTCACATGTTGTATCTTTCCAGGAGAATGTAAACTCCTTGAGGGCAGGGACTGTATTTCTTTTTTTGTCTTTGTACCTCCAGAGCCTTGTACACAGCAGACACTTAAATGTTCGTGGAATTTTGTTAAATTCCCTTCAGGATTTCCATCATCCTCTTCATGTAAGGTACAGTGACTCCACCTTACCCAAAAATATGCTCCCTTTGGCATTTTAAGAAGCTTCTGTGACAGAAATACTTTTAATATGTTTGGATGGGATACCTTTTTCAAAAGGGGCAGGCTAGGTAAAGGAAGAAAGAAGGGCTGCAGTAGCATTGTATATTAAGAAGATATTCATTTGAAGCAATCCAGGTAGAGGGGGAGAAAGAACATTGGGGTAAAGACCAGTAGAAGCAGAACCAGAATGGAACATGTCATCAGACTTCAGTTTTCTGGACATCTACTGGGGTTCGCTCATGTTGTGTCAATTCTTCCTTTTCTCTCTCTTCTCCTGTTTCTGACTCTTCTCCTCTGCTTTTTTCTCTCTTTCTCGCCTCTTCTCTCCACAACCCCCCCCACACCCCAAAGCAGAGCACCTAGTATCTCCTTGCCTACCTTTAATGACAGTTTCATTCTTCAGAAGATGGGTTAACCAGTGAGGGGAACATCTCTTCCAGATCTGATTCTCACCAATAATAAGGTTTTTGGAAGGTAAAAATCAGGGGAACCTTAGGAGAAAGTATCCTTTCCATCTTAGAATTTTTGAAAGGGGAAAGGAATGTTTGGAATGGACTAAGATGTGGACTGTATTTTGGCAGAGTAAATTTCAAAGAGTTCAAAGAAAAGAGAGTTAAAATTCCATGAACTAAAATTCTCTAGGGCAGGTCAGCCTAAGAGGGATAGTAAGTTTTCAAGAAAGAAATTCTGGAGATAAAAAAAGTAACAGTTATGAAGAAAGAGGAAAATTGTCTTTTTAAAAAATGTGAATGCACAGTGAACTCACTGACCAACTTAGGTCTTTAAAAGACATACACGTACAATAGAAACAATGACAGATAACAGAGAATGAATGTGAAAGTGTGGCAGTTTTAAGAATGTCAGGAGTGCTAAAGTTCTTAATGAGCTGAGATGGGTAAGGAAAGACAAGGGCAACAAAAAGGACTTTTTAAAAATTCTTTTAGGAGGATCATAGGAAGGATAGGCCCACTCTGCTATCTAGGGTGGGCAGGTAAGTAACAGCCTGGAAGAGAGACACATGTCATTGCCACTGAAACCTTATTTTAATAGTTCTTGTTTTCTCTGCTAAGGAGGATGCATTTTGGACTAGAAAGGCAACAGGAGCTGATACCCAAAATGAGTAGGGGAGATGAATAGAGAGCACCCAGCTGCCTTTGAGTTCAGAGTCCTAGTCTCAGAAGAAAGGTGTTCTTGGGGACTCGATTTGAGTGTCGACCCACTATCAGTCATCTTTGAAAGATCATGGAGAGTAGAAGAGATACCATGGAACTAGAGAAGGCAAATGTCCTCATTTTCAGAAAAAGGTCGAAAATGAAGACTGCAGACCATAGGCCAGGGAGGTTGTCTTTGATTCTTAGCAGAGTTCCAGAATTGATTTTTTCAAAGGATGGTTGGTGAACCAGCTAGTAAAGGAAGTCGAGATTACAAAAAGCCAGCATGTCTTCAAGAACAGCTCATGGCAAACTAATTTCTTTTATGGACAAAATTACTGGACTTGGTAGAACAGACAGGTCCTGTAAGTGTAGTTTGTCTAAATTTTAGCTAACTTTTGACTGCCTCCCATATTCTTCTTGGGGAAAAGATGGAAGGATGTGAGCTCCAGATGGTAGTACAGTTAGGAGGTTATGGAACCGGTCGGATGACTGGACCCAAAAAGTAGTTATTAATGGTTTGATATCAACTTGGAAAGAGGTCACCAGTGGAGTCAGTCAACAGGCATATATTAATTATCACTTACTATGTGCCATGCACTGTGTTAAGTGCTGGAGACCCCCAGGAATTGACTTTACAAGCACAAGATGGGCGGGCATGACTGGACATCAGTTCGTCTGAAAACAGTATGGAGCTTCTGATGCACTGCAAGCTCAGAATGGGTCAACAGTGTAATATAGAGGCCAGATACAATTTTAGGCCGCATTAAAAGAGGCATAGTATCTAGGACTACAGAAACAACAGTCTCCACACTCCCCAGACCTTATCTAGAGTGCTATGTTCAGTTCTGGTTAGCATTTTTGTTGTGGATCAGTCATTTTTGGTCATGTCTGACTCTTCCTGACCCCATTTGGGGTTTTCTTGGCAACGATACAGGAGTGCCATTTCCTTTTCCAGCCCGTTTTACAGATGAGGAAACTGCGGCAAATAGGGTGAAGTGACTTGCCCAGTGTCACACAGCTTGGAAGTGTCTGAGGCTGAATTTGAACTCATGAAGGTGAGTCTTTCTGACTCCAGGCCTGGCGCTCTGTGCACTATGGCGCTCCCAGCTGCCAGTAAACATTTAAGAAGCATATTGATAAGCTGGGGAGCATCCACAGAAAGACAGTCAGGATGGCAAAAGGCCCTGAGAGCTTGCCTCATAGGGATTGATTGAGAGAACTGGAGCTATTTTCCCTGGGGAAAGGAAGACTTGTGGAAGACAGAATGATCGATGTCTTCCAAGTATCTGGAAGGCTGTCAGGTGGAAGAGGGAAAGGACTTGGCCTGCTTGGCCCTAGTGGCCATTACAAATAGGGAAATTGAGGTTTGATTTAATGAAGGGACCCCTGCCTCCTAATGGTTGGTGCTCCCCAAAAGGGAAATGGATGTTCTGCCTCTGGATGTCACTTGAACCTCACTTGAGGTTTTCAAGTGGTTAATGATCAGTGCTTGTTGAATGGGATGTGGAAGAGATTCCAGAAATCAGGAATGGGATGGAGTGAGTGACCTCTGAAGTCTTTTCCAACTCCAAGATGATGCAAATATTGAAATCATGGCGTGTCATACACATAGCCCCAAAGTCAGACCTCTCTACCTTCTTGCATAATATTGTCTGGGCCCTTTTCCATCTCCAGAGCTTCCATCTCTCTCAGAGGGCAAATTCTTTTTAGGTCACTGGAGACACCATAATAAGCCAGGACTGACCAGGCTGGTCTCTTACCTCAGGTTCAATATTAGAATGAAATAAGATGCTTGTCTTATTGAACAGAATGAGTGTCTTAATGAACAAAAGGAGATTTACTTCGCTGTAACAGGGGAAGGATATTCAGAGCAGGAAAGAGTGTTCATGGAAGTTATAGCCTTGATTCAGCTGAGCCTAGCTTTCCTGTGCCAGTGTTGGTCACGCCGCTGGTTTTTGGTCAGAAACCTGAAGGAGGAGCTCTAGCCGTTCACATGCTGGCTCTTTGTGTACTCAGACCCCCGGGAACCAGCAGCCCAGGCCTTATTCCTCTAAGCCAATTAGATCTTGAGGACAGTTTCAGTACCTTTTAAGGAAAAAATTAACCTAACCTCCGTGGAGCAGAGCCTTACAATACTTAATCCACCAAAGATACTAAATGTGATTTTTCATCTAAAAGAAAGAGCAGGAGATAATCAAGGTGTGCCCAGGTTTGTTTCCTGCATCCCTGGGCTGCCGCTATGTGCTAAAGTGAAAAGGAGCTCTTGGCAGTGAGAACCTTATCATCCTGTGGCAGGTTACCTCCACAGTCTAAAGCCACTGTTCAGAACTGGCACCCAAAGAAGTCTGCCTGTCTTAGCTTCTGGCAGCATCAACT